TAATAATAAAACTTCCAAGATTCTGAGACAAAGAGAAAGTAATGAAGGGGAAGAAACAAATAATCTATAAAGGAAAACTGATTAGGCTGACATCAGACTTCTCTGAAGAAATACTATCGGCAAGAAGAGAATGCAGTAACGTATTCAAAAACTCCGAGACAAAAAATGCCAGCCAAGAATACTATATCCTGCAAAACTCTATATGAGGGAAAAATAAGGAACTTCTCTGCCAAACTAAATCATCAGAAACTCACTGCTAACCCCCCCCCACTCCAAGAAATATTACAAGAAGCCTTAAAATCTAAACCAACAGAGGAATGAGCAGGAGGAAATGAATAAGGTTTTGAATAGAACCACAAACAATGAACAAAATGGGCAATTATAGACTCCCATGTATCAACAATCACCCTAAATATAAATGGACTAAACTGACCACTAAAAAGACACAGAGAGGAATACAGGATTAGGAAACAGAATCCAACCTTCTTCTGTCTCCAGAAAACACACCTAAGTGTCGAAGATAAATATAGATTGAAAATAAAGGATTAGAAAACAATTCTAAAAGCAAATGGCTTCCGTAAGAAGGCAGGGGCAACCATACTTACATGAGATGAAATAGACTTCAAACTAAAAAAGGTGACTAGAGACACCAATGGACACTATATAATAATGATCAAGGGGACAATACACCAGGAGGTTATAACTCTCATTCATATATACTAACCAAATGAAGGGGCACCAAAATACATTGTCATCACTATCATCTCTGAAAACAGACATCAGAGAAAATACACATGTAATAGAAGACTTCAACACACCACTGTGACCAGTGGACAGATCAATGAGATAAAAAATAAACAAGGACACAATAGCCCTAAACAAAGATCTAAACTACATTGGCCTAATAGACATCTATAAGAAACTGACCACCACCCCCCCGAAAAAAAGAAAGAAAAGAAAACACATTTTTCTCAAGTGCACACGGATCATTCTCCAGGATAGACCATGTACTGGACCACAAGAAAAACAACAAATACATGAAGATTGAAATCAAACCATCTTCTCTGACCATAAGGGATCAAACTAGAAATCACCTACTAAAAGAAAGCAAGGAGACACCCCCTCCCCCACGCACCATCACCACCCATTACATGGAGAATGAAGAACATGCTACTGAAAGACCACTGGATTAATGAGGAAATCATAGAAAAAAATAAAAAAATACCTTGAGGGCCTCCCCTGGTGGCTCAGGCACTTGAGCGCAGTGCTGTGAAGCTGTCCACAGTCTCTGCAGTGTGTGTTGAAGGGTTCCACATGGCGTGGCAGACCTCTCCTGCCTCACCCACTGCTCCCCTCAGCAGTGTATTTTGTCAGTCTGCCTGTTCGGCTCCCTACTCTGTCTTTGGTGAATCCTCTCACCTTCCCACGCATCTGGCCTGTACCCCAGTTCTTGTACAAATAAATAAATCAATCTTTAAAAAAAAATACCTTGAGACAAATAACAATGAGGACACAACGTTCCAGAATATATGGGACTGCAAAAGCAGTAATAAGAAGACAGTATATAGCAATATAGACACACATCAAGAAACAAGAAAGAACCCCAAAACACAACCTAATCTCCCATCTCAACGAAGTAGGAGAACAATCCAAAAGATCAAGGAAACTGAAAGCTGCTTCTTTGAAAAAATAAACAAAGTATGCAAATTTCTAGCCAGGCTCAGAAAGAAAAAATGGAAGAAAAACTCAAATTAATAGGATCAAAAATGAAAAAAGAGAAATTATAAAAGATATAGCAGAAATCCAGAGGAAAATCAACGACTATGATGAACAATTATATGCAAACAAGCTCAACAATGTAGATGAGATGGATAAATTCTTAGAACTATATAATCATCCAAAACTTAATAAAGGCAAAATAGAACACCTAAACAAACCAATTAAAAGCAGTGAAATTGAAACAGTTATCAAAACCCTCCCCAAAAACAAAAGCCCAGAATGGGATAGATTCACAAGTTTTACCAAATGTTCAAAGGTGCCTATCTTACAAAAATCAAGAAGGAATATTACCAAATAAATTTTACAAAGCCAAAAATTGGGTACAATTGTACCCAAATAAAATCTTACACTAATACCAAAATCAAACAAAGACAACACACAAAAAAGAAACTCTAGGCCAATTTCCCTTATGAACACAGATGGAAAAAAAAATCCTCAATAAAATCTACCAAACTGAATCCAATGGATCAAAAGAAAAATACATCATGAACAAATGGGGTTTATCACAGAGACAAAGGATGGTTCAACATTCAAAAATCCATTAATAATGGGCCTCCCTGGTGGCGCAGCGGTTGAGCGCTGGGTTGCGAAGCTGCCCGCAGCCTCTGCAGCACCGGTTCGATCCCTGGCTGCTCCCCGGCCACCGGAGGAGGGTCCCCCATGGCGCGCAGACCTCTCCTGCCACCCGCTGCTCCCCTCAGCAGTGTACTTCAGTCCTTCTGCCTGCTCTGCTCCCTGCTCTGGCTCTGGTGAATTCTCTCACCCTCCCGTGCTTCTGACTGTACCCAGCGCTTGTATAAATAAATAAAATAAAATCTTAAAAAAAAACCAAAAAACAAAAATCCATTAATGTAATCCAACACATCAGTAAAAATCAAAATCTTATGATCATATCAATAGATGTTGAGAAAACATTTGATAAAGTTCAGCATTTACAATGAAGGGCCCTAAAATACTTGGGATAAAAGGAACATACCTTAACACAATAAAAGCCATATACAACAAATCCACAGTTAACAGCATTCTCAATGAATGCTCAATTCTAAAAGCGTTCCCTATAAGATCTAGAACAAGACAAGGATGTCCACTCTCACCACTGCTTTTCAATATTATACTGGAAGTCCTAACTAGAGTGAGTAGGCAAAAGAAAGACATACAAGGAATCCAAATAGGAAAGGAAGTAGTACTATAATTATTTGTAAATGATATGGTAATATATAGAGAGAACCCTAAAAATTCTATGGGAAACTAATTAAAACAATAAACCAGTTCAGTGAAGTAGTAAGTTACAAAATCAACACACAAAAATCAGTGTGAAGAGGAAGAAATTAAGAAAACCACCCCATTTACAATTGTACCCAAATAAAATAAATACCTGGAAATAAAACAAAACAAAGGAGATGAAAGACTTATGCAAAGAACATTACAAAACATTGTGAAAAGAAGTAAAAGAAGACACAAAGAAATGGAAAGACATTCCCTGCTTATGGAATAGCAGGGATAATTAACATTATCAAAATGGCCATCCTACAAAAAGCAATTTACAGATTCAATGCAATTGCAATAAAATCTCAACAGCGGGGCCTCCCTGGTGGCACAAGGGGTTAAGCACCGCACTGTGAAGCAGTCCGCAGCCACTGCAGCACCAGTTCTATCCCCAGCCAGCCAGGGAGCAACCCACATGGTGCAACAGACCTCGCCTGTCTCCCCTGAGCAGTTTATTTCAGTCAATCCACCTGTTCTGTTCCCCACTCTGTCTCTGGTGCGCGCGCACACACACACACACACACATATCCACCACCACCCCCCAGCTTACACCCTAGTTCTCGTATGCATAAATAAATAAATCTTTAAGAAAAAGAAAATACTAGACAAGTCACCAGTGAGGCAATGGGCTTAAAGAAAGGCAGTTTTGCTGCAGGCAAAGGCACGGTTTTACAGAGTAGAAATGAAGATTTTTAAGGAAAAGTTAGCTTCAAGATAAGGACTCTCAAATCAGCATTATCTCTCTTTCTTACACAAAAAAAAATCTCTGCAACTGAGCAAACTATCTTGAGATATGTCCCAGGTTGATTTGGTCATTACTTGCATATGGTGATACAAGTACTACAGGCAGAAATAAACAACAGGTTATAGCCCACAACAGTCGTGGCCCCCCCACAGGCAGGAGGACACTGACCCCTGGGACCAATGGCCTTGGGAATCCTCTCCTCCCAGGAGGGCCTGAGTCCATAGCCTGTGGGATTACGGAAAGAAGCCATGGGCTTCAGGCTTTATTAAACTTGGGGGGATGGGGCCTCCCTGGTGGCACAAAGGGTTGGGACACAACCTATGAAGCTATCTGCAGCCACTACAGTACAGGTTCGGTCCCCTGCCAGGGAGCTACTCACATGGCGCAGCAGACCTTTCTGACTTGTCTGCTGCTCCCCTCAGCAGTGTATTTCAGTAGATCCTCCTGTTCTGTTCCTGGCTCTGGTGAATCCTCTCACCCCCTGCACCTCTGGCCTGTACTCCAATTCTTATATGCATAAATAAATCTTTTAAAAGCAAGGGGTGGGGGAGAGGGAGAGAGGTGTACGGGGAATGGAGGAAGGGGTGACCTTCTGGGCCCAGTGTAGGGTAAATGGTTTTCAGGCTTTTCTTCAATCCCACCATTAGGATTGCCCTGCCTGATGGGGCACCCGCAGTTGTCACATTGTTGCAAACTGTCTTATTTACTTCTGTGGGCCATAGTAGGAGTACTGAGATAGTCACCAAGAGAAGCAGATGCAGGAGAGAGAACAGGAGAAAGCAAGCCAGAAGAGAGAGAGCGAGCAGCCCAGAGTGAAGACGTGTGGGGGGCTTGGGGGCCTGCCAGCCTCCTGACCCCCGGCACCCCTGCCTGTCCTGTACCTGTTTGCCACACTCCATGTAAAGCTCAATAAAGGCCTGAGAAAGCCACTGAGGGCTCCAGGCTCCTCCTTTACCCCGGTCTGCTCTGCCCGCTATCCTACCCGTACCCCCAGCACCCCCAAAACTGCAGGACTCGCCTCTGTGCTCTGCCCCCCACCCCCCAGCAACCCGGCCGGGCCACACTTCCGCCTGCCCCCCCTCCTCGCGGCGGCGGCGGATGACGTCGCGCGGGCGGGGCTTCCGCTTCCGGCGGCGCATTGTGACGCAGCGCCTGCGGCGGCGGCGCGACGGGCCGTTGGGGCGGGGCCCGCGGGGGAGGGAGACGCCGCGGTGACAGGGCGGCCGCGGCTGCTGCTGAGGCGACGATGGCGGAGGGGCCGGAGGAAGCCCGGGGCCTCCCTCCCGGACAGGACGACGGCCGAAGGGACGCCCCGCCCGTCCCCTCCCTGAGGGGCGCGCCCGCCGCCGCCCCGCGCCCCCGGGACGGGCCGCCGAGCGAACCCCAGGCCCCGGGCCGGCCCCCCGCCCCGGGCCTCGCGGCGGCCGAGGACTCGGACTCGGCGCCGCCGCGCGAGGCGGGGCGGCGCGGGGAGGCGGGCGCGGGGCCGCAGGAGCCGGCGGCGCGCGAGGGCCCCGAGGCGCCGCGGGAGCGGCCGGCGCGCCTGAGCGCCCGCGAGTACTCCCGCCAGGTGCACGAGTGGCTGTGGCAGTCCTACTGCGGCTACCTCACCTGGCACAGCGGCCTGGCCGCGCTCCCCGCCTACTGCGGCGCGCCGCCCGCGCCCGGCCCCGCCGCGCCCCCGCCCGCCGCGCCGCCCCCCGCGCTGGCCTACTACAGCCCCTTCTACTTCCTCAGCGCCGCGGCCGCCGCGCCCGGCCCGGGGGCGCCCCCGGCCCCGCTGCCGTCGCGGGCCAGGCCCCCCGGGCGCCCCACGCGCAGGGCTCCGGCCGCGCCGCCCCGGGGTCCCGCGCGGCCGCCGCCGCCCCTTCGCGAACCCCGAGCGAGACCGGGCGCCAGGCAGGTGAGCGCGCCACGGCGGGGCTGCGCCGAGCTGGGGGACCCCCCACCCCGGGAACCCCCCGGGGGGAGCCGACCCCCGCCCCCCGCAGGCTGGGGACGGGGAGCCGGCGCGCCTTCGCGCGTGTGCCTGCCGCTGCTCGCCGGTTCTGCGCGCGCCCCCGCTGGCTCCCCAGGCGCGAGGGGCCCCAAGTGTGCTGCCCCCCGACTGGAGACGCTTGCTGCCGGCACTCGCCGTTCCCACGAGTCAGGGCAGCTGTGCTCACCCTCTTGAGCTCCGCGCCCCAGAAAGGGAGGCCCGGAGCTGGGTTCTCGGGTGGCAAACCCATTTGGGGCCCGGGTGGCGGGACGTGCTGGAATTAATGCAGACCCAGGGTCGCCGTGTGGCGTCCGAGCCCGCGGCCGCGGGACGGGATGTGTGTGATTAGTATAATAATTACTTACGGGCTGCAGGTCCGAGGCGGTGGCGGGAGGCCAGACGGAGCTGCGCGCCTCTCCCCGGCTCCGTGGTCGGGCGCATTGTTTACCTCCCCACGGACATGACGGCCCTTTGAATTAGTTACGCCTTTTAGATTAGTATTTAAACTTTTTATCTTGTGCAGCCACAGCTGGGTGGAACAAGAACTAGTTACTGCCCGAATTTTATCCCGGTCAGAGTTGAGGCAGATTGCTAATCATTGTAGCTGTTGGAAAGCTAAATGACTAAAGGGTGCTGTGAGGAACACAGGGGTTTCCTATATACTCATTGTCTATACTTCACCTTGATTTTTACTAAAAAAAAAAAAAAGTTTAATTTTGTGTCATGGAATTGCAATCCCTAGATTCTCACTTGAGTCCCTAGTGAAATGTATTGAGTACCTTAAATTTGTGTGAGATCATTTTTAAACATTAAAGGGGTGAAAGCAGACTTTAGTTTTTTAAATTTGTTTATTTTTGCATAGAAGAACTGGGGTGTAGGCCAGAGATGTGAGGTGCCAGAGGACTTGACAGACAGTGGGGAGCAGAGCAGGTCGGATCTACTGAAATACACTGCTTTAGGGAGCAGCAGGTGAGACAGGAGAGGCCTGCAGTACCAAGTGGGTCAGCTCCCTGACCATGAATCCAACACAGGCTTTCGTGTTAAGAGCGCTGAGACTTAACCCCTAGGCTGCCAGGGAGGCCCCCTGAAAGCAGACTTTAAACTGCTCAGTAAGTAGAAGAATAGTGCTGCTGTTATTAGCATGTACTGTTGATGAAGTCGATACCAATAATTGTTGCAAGGTTAGAAAAAATTTTATTAGCTGGGTGTGTACCTTGACTTTATGTTCTCTGTTTATTACCTACTTTGCATTCTAAGGCTTATGTGAATCAATGGATTTTCCTAACCTTTTTTTTTTTTTTTAAATTTACAGGCCGAGAGTATGTTATTCCATCCTTGGCGCATAGATTTATGGCAGAGATGGTGGATTTCTTTATTCTCTTCTTTATAAAAGCAACCATTGTCTTAAGTATTATGCACCTCAGTGGAATAAAGTAAGTTAAGCCCATTTGCAGAAATGAGAGATCTTGTTTTGCTCAGTCCTACAAGTGACTATATAATCTGACAGGGTTTCGACACTTACAAAAGACCAAAGAAAGCACATTAAATTCTGCAAGATCTGTGGTTATCTCAGCTCTCGAAAGAGGGTAAAAGAAGTCTTCAGACCTGGTTTGATTTTATTCAGCTATTTTCTTAGGCTGGGGACAAACTTCTCTTGAAATCCGAACACAACGGCATAAGGAGCTTTTGGTAGATGAACATTAATAAGCTACCTAGATGGCATTTCCAAATGGGATTGCTTTTGCTATCAGGCATTTCCCAAATCAACTGCAAAGTGAGACATTTATAATTCTTTCAGAGTAACAATCATAATAGCAGTTATCATTGGCTAAGTACCTTATACTTACTAGACATTGAGCTCACCTCTTTATAAAAATTCTGATTTACTCTTACCACAACTGTGAAGTAGAGGTAAACATCTCCATTTCACAGAGATTGAAATTTGGGCTTACAAGAAATTAAAGCCAGAATTCACAGAGGTACAAAGGAATACATGACAGAGTCAAAATATAAATTCTTGTAGTCAAATTTTAGGACGCCTGCCAGGGGTCTGAACATTACTGTGATTCCTTCCTTTCTCTTCTCCCTCTCCTACCTTCCACATCCAACCAAGTGGCAACTCCTTTCTGTTCAATCTCCTGCATAGCCTTCAACCCACACCAGTTCCTGGTTACTGTCCTCTCTTTCCTGGCTGGCAGCAAAAGTATTCTAACTAGTAGCTCAATAGTCTGTCTCTGTAGCCTTCTTTCAGTCCTCTGTCTTGAGTAGCCTGTTGTGTCTCAGCCCAGTCTCTGATGTAAAACTAGAGATTATAAGTTGATTCTGCCCTTCTCCTGCCTTAAAACCCTTCCGTGGTTTTTCTTTGTCTTCAGAATAGTCTTAACATATCCATATGGTATACAGATGCCCTTATTTTTTAATCATTGTTAACTCTTATTCTTAATATGGGTGACATACCAAGTGTTTATAGCTTGTATCACACTCTTGCTCCAAGATTTTCTCTGTTATTCCCTCTCTCTCTGGAACTTCCTTCCCCCTTCTTAGTCTGATTCTCTTGTCTTCATCCTCAGAGCTCAGCATCAATGTCGTTTCTGGGAAATCTAAGTGTACCTGACCTATGTTTTCCCAGTACTTTATGATTTCCTATATAGTACTCGTGGCATTTTCCTGATAGAGGCCACATGGAAGTCACTCACCATCATCTCTCCAGAGGTAGTACAGTGTATGCTTGTGGTAGTAATGCTTATTTGTTGAATAAGCCAATGAGTATTTTCTGAAACTAAATTGTTAGAAACCAAAGATAGTTTAGCATTTCAATTTTAGTTTATGACAACACTGTTGGGGGAAAAAAATCAATGTAACTGCTCTGATAGCTATATCTTTATAACACAAAACTATTATTTTGTGTAGGGATATCTCTAAATTTGCTATGCATTATATAATAGAAGAAATAGATGAAGACACATCAATGGAAGACTTGCAGAAAATGATGGTTGTGGCTCTTATATACAGATTACTAGTTTGTTTCTATGAGGTAAGTTGTTAATTAAAACAAACATTAATATTTAACATTCTAATTTCAGATTCAGTCCTAGAATAAAAAAGTGATGGAAATTATCATACTTTTCAAGTTGAAACAATACTCAGAATGGAGACATTATATAATTTCCTTGTAACATATTTCAGTCTTATGGCCCAAATACATACTTGTAAGTTGGTTGTGGAACTTGAAATGTATTTTTCCATAGGAGAATCTTGCTCAAAAATACATATGGGCCATAGAGAACTATATAGTAGGCACCTTGTGGTATTGAAGATGTTGGAGACTTTCAGAAATGTGTCATAAAAGGGTAACCTTTGAGTAGTCTGTGAAATTGTTCCAACTTCAAAATTTTGAAACATAAATAACACGACATGAAATTTTACCTTTAAAATTGCTATTGTTGAGCCAGTAAATTATTTTTTTAATTACCCTTCTTTTTTTAGATAATTTGCATTTGGGGAGCTGGTGGAGCCACCCCAGGGAAGTTCCTGCTAGGGCTTCGAGTTGTGACATGTGATACATCAGTGCTGATTGCACCAAGTCGGGTTTTAGTGATTCCTTCTTCAAATGTTAGCATTACAACGTAAGTTCTTAGTCAACTGGATACTTCTGAAAATAATTTAAAAACAAGTATAATTCATAAATTATTTTTATGATGCAGGTATTTTTCTTTTCTTTGTGGCATATAATAGCCATATTTTTTCAGGTTTAAAACAAAGCATATCCATATTTTTCAGCTATGACTGTAGATCTCTCTTCATTATACATTTTCAAGAATCATTTTATGAAATCTATGAAGTCACCATAGTAAGAGGATGATTTGAGTGTTGATGATATAGATAACTATAATATCCGTGTCTAGCTTTATTCTCTAGATCTGTGGATAGTCCTTTTAGTTACTGATCTACCTTGCGCTTCCATTTGATAATCCCTGTCATTATCCTATCTTGAAAGGGCAGTATGAGATTTGAGAGCAATGTACGCGTCCATTCTGATCCAGCTCTAAAGTGATAGAGTGTGTAGTACTCCTGGTACTCATGGCTAGCTTTTAGCATCCGGCTCCGGGAGAAGGTACAAATAGTGATAATGAAATCTGTAAAGATAAGTAGGAGATGATCTGTTGAGCAAAACAAGATACTGGCTGGAATTGCTGCCAGAATAATTCAGAGCTGGATTGTTATATAAAGAAATATGAACAAGAGACTCTAAAATAAGTCTTGATTTTGCTGACATACTCAAAATTTCCTTTATGGTTATGATCATTCTGGCTACTACTTTTAATTAGAGTCAAAATGACTATAGTGTTTATTGAGCACCTCTTATATGCCAAGCACTTTTAAGAATATTGCTTGTGTATTACTCACTTAATCCTCACTTTATAAGATAGGTACTATTACCTCCTTTTTAATTTTTTTTTTTTTAAATAGAGGCATGTTTTATTTATTTTATTTGTTTGTTTTGTTTATACATGCACTGGGTACAGTCAGAAGCGCGGGAAGGTGAGAGAATTCACCAGAGTCAGAGTGGAGAGCAGAGCAGGCAGAAGGACCGAAGTACACTGCTGAGGGGAGCAGCGGGCGGCAGGAGAGGTCTGCGCGCCAAGTGGGACCCTCCTCCAGTGGCCGGGGAGCAGCCGGGATCGAACCGGCACCTCAGAGGCCGCGGGCAGCTTTGCAACCCAGCGCTCAACCGCTGCGCCACCGGGGAGGCCCTATTATCTCCTTTTTATACGTGCAAAATAGATCTGAAGCCAACTAGTCTGAATGAATTCCTAGCTCATGTTTTGCCACTTTGCTTTTCAATAAAATGAAAGATGGAAATCTAATATGAAAGTAGGATAATTCTCCATTCTGAGCTATTGCTAAAAGCTTCTTAAAGCTTTCCATAATCACAGGATCTCACAAAGAAAGAAGAGAACTGATAAAAGAATACCAAGTAATTTCAAATATGAGTACTTCATAGAGGGTAGAAAATGGGGCTGCAGTGAGCACTCAGCTTTTAGGCTGCTAAAATGCACAGTAATAAGTGACTATGTAGAAAAGGTCAGTAAAGGGAATAGTTCTTTTCTTCTGGCAAAATACTAGAAAATTTTATAAATCTTTAGCTCACAGTGTAAGATATCTACTTCACATTTTAAATATATTACTGCTTTTCATGTAACATTCTGTCTTACGTTGATGAAGTCTTCAGAAGTAACCCTGGTGGTTTGTTCATACTACAATGTTACTTGAAAGTATTCAGATATCAAAGGAAATCAACTACACTATAAATGTTTTAAATACTTGTTTTAAACTTGATAGAATAATATTAATCACTTTGTGATTGATACACAACTTATCTTTTTTTTTTTTGCTTTAATTTTTTTAGATCCACTATACGAGCTTTGATCAAGAACTTTTCTATTGCTTCTTTTTTCCCTGCTTTCATCACACTGCTGTTTTTTCAGCATAATCGAACAGCGTATGACATTGTAGCAGGAACCATCGTGGTAAAAAGGAATGGGGTCAGATGATGCCCGAAAACGCCCTGAATTCCATACTCTATGGAATACTGAGAAGACTCAATTATGTATCAAGGCCATCAGTATCCCCGGGCAACATTGATGATTTAGAAATTAAAGCAGTCACTACAGTGTGATCCAGGTGACTATTCTGAAAGTATTGATTTTACTTGAATGCCAAAGAACTTTTCCAGAAGAAAAATCTGTTAAATTCAAGTATTAAAATTTTTAGATCGAAAAGAAGGCAAGTAGTTTCATAATCAACAAGGACAATGTATACTTTCTTAAGATCTAAGAGATTAGAATTTGCTGAGAGCATTTCCAGTTTTGAAATCTCCAAATGAAACTTTAAAATTTTATTTTGGTTTACCCCAAAATGATGGAAAATGTCCAGTTGTGTTTTGTAAACACATTATTCATCTTTTAGTTAACACTTCTTGGGGAAATTGTCTTTGCTTTTTAGGGGGGCGGGCGGAGTAGGAACACAGTATCAGATAAACCATTATCTCCCATCCCGGGAGGGGTGGTGATTAGCTGCAAGAGAAAGGGGCAAGTGAGGCAGGCCCAGCAGTTCCTTCACCTGAAGTTTTAAAATCTGTACTGCAGTTTACTGTGGGAATGATAAACTTTACAAGTATTCTTAACACTTAAATGTATATTTTGGGCAAGTTTTGCATAACAATGAAAAAGTATTGAGTCATATTGCTGTTACTGATTCCTTTAAAGAAAAGGTAAGTTAGTGATTACTTTGGGGGGTGGGAGTAAAGTTTCACTGTAAATTTAACTTAAAATTTATGTGCAAGTGTTTTCAGTGCCCTAAATCAAACTATAAATATGTAAGGAGTTATTACTTCCATCAAACTGTTGCATATTTACTGTAAAACAATATTCCCAGTATGTGTGTAGCATGAAGAAAGTATTAGTGCTTTTCAGTGTTTTGAATATAACCCCTCTTCATGTGCAGAATATTCATGTACTACTTCCTTCTTTTATTTTATATTGTTCCATGACTTCTGACGCATCGATGAGTCAAATAATCTTATCCTTTCATGATTAAATCCATGTAGCTTATGGAATATTAGTGATTTCCCATTATGGACTATATGGAAGAGTAGCATTTATTCTAAGTTCTTTGGCTCTGTGGGCCAAAAGCTCATTTTGAGCCTGCCAAGGATGATATTTGAAGGAAATGTTAGGCAGAGTAACATTTGTGCATTGCCATTTTAATTTATTCTTCCGTTGAATCAAAGTTGAAGAGTTTTAAGTGTGCGCGTGTTTTTGTTGGATGGCCCAGGGAGCTGTGTTGAGATATCCTGAACTAAAATTCTTGTTTCTTAAGCATCTCCTCCAACCCTGCTATTTTCCCAGAAAACACTAATCGGTAGGCCTTATTTCTTCAGTTTTATAGCTAATTGGTAGGCCTTATTTCTTCAGTTTAATAGCAAATGCAGACACATCTGTCATCACCGAATCAGTTTTTAAAGTGGGTTTTTCTTTGAAAATTGTGAATAGATTCATACTTGATGTTTATAAAAACCTTAACAGTATCCTTAATATCTTTTTTATTGTAAAATTTCATAAACCATGTTTTCCAAAATAATTTTATATTAAATCCAACATCACAGAAAGCCTGTTAAGTATGTCAAAGTAGTCACTTGTAGCCTCAGGGAAGATATTAAAAGTGTTATGGCCATTCACAGTAGGAAAAGACCTCATTTTTTTATTACGCTAGAAATTAAGAAGTGTTATATAGATTTACCACTTAGCATTGGCATATACAGTACTTTTGCCACTGATTGGCATATAAGTTAAAATGCCCTTTAGTCATTAGCTCCAGAATTTAACTTTGATGTATTAATTTCCTCCCAAATAATTAGATGTACCTTTTGACTGTTTTTATTTATACAGTAAAACAAAAGCTAACAAGTAGTCCAGTTTAATTTGTTGTTCCTAAATTTATACCACATTTGCAATATTACATGTGTAACTCATTCAAATTAAAATCTGTATAGGTTTTTGTAGGTTCATTTAGATCCACCTCTGGATTCAAATTATATACGACATAGCCCTCTGAAATAAAGTATTACTTTGTCTTTACAAAAAAATCCAAGTCTGTTCCTATTTATGAACTCAGTGCTTAGGGAAAGAGTTTGAGTCCCAAATTGTTGGGGAAAAAAGGACAAAGTGATGGGGCCTGAAGGTGGGGCCACATGTTTATTTTTTGTGTGTGGGGAGAGGAGGGAATGGAGCCTCCCTCTTTTCAGAACACTTTTTAGTGTATTACATGTATGGAAGGGCTGATTTTCCACGTCAGAGTATAATTCTGATACTGCAACTCTAGCCAAAAAAGGGCAAAAAGAAAGTTGTCTTCATAGTGCAAGCATTATTCATCACTTTTACAAGATAAGAAATAAGGAAACAAAAATTTGGAGTCAAGCTGAGTGAGAATACGATTTCAGAGACCAGGCATGTTAGCTTAGGGATCTAGAAAAATCTCAGTACCCATTACTAAAAGTAGCCTGGCTGGCTAAAGCATATTGAGAAAAGTCTGACATGAATGTTCATGCTGGGCCTGGGTAGGTAAGTGTGAGTGATGGCAAGCCATGCTTTTGAACTAATCTTCGACTGTGGAAAAAAAGCCAATACTTTTTTGAACGCTAAGCCTTTTCTTTGAAATACTCCCCAGCTGACATTTATCTAGCATTCATTTGGAAACTTTCTTTTTGCCTAACACTGTTTCATTCAAATATTTAAAATTGAAAAACAGGCATTATATTTGAGGGCCACTGTACCTAGATTATAAAAAAATGAGTACTGTGTTTCTGTTTTCAGACCTCTACTTATTTTTCATTAGAAATTAAATGGATTTAATGAAGAAAGCACTAACTCTCCCCCCCAACCCATTTTTCCCAACTCCCACTCCCCACCTCTGGCAATCGTCAATTCTTTTTTGTCTTTCAAGTTGGTATTTCTTTGTTTTGGAGTTTTTTGGTCTTTAAGATTCCACATAGAGATCAAACACTTTTTGTCTTTCTGACTGACTTCACTTAGCATAATGCTGTCAAGTTCCAACCATGTTGTCACATGTCAAGATTTCACTTTTTATGGCCAAATAATATTCCATTATATGTAAACAGTCATCTGCCCCTTAAGAATGTTATGGTCAGTTACAGACTGCATGGAGCACAGCGGTGCCTCTGGGCTATACCGTTCAGCCTAGGTATGTAGCGGGCCATGTGGGTCTGTGTGATTGCACTCTGATGTTGCAGTGATGAAATCCTCTAATGCCATGTAACTCCGAGCATAGTCCTGTCGCTCAACAGCACTTGCCTGTGTACCAGTTTCTTTATTCATCCATCAGTGGACACTTGTTTCCATATTTGGGCTATTAAGAATAATGCTGCCAGGCCTCCCCTGGCAGTGCAGCGGTTGATCACCTCGCTGTGAAGCTGTCCACAGCCTCTGCAGCGTGGGCTTGATCCCGGCCGGCTGGCGAGGGTCCCACGTGGCGCGGCAGACCTCTCCTGTCGTGCCTGCTGTTCCTTTTAGCAGTGTACTTCGGTCCTTCTGCCTGCTCTGTCTCTGGTGAATCCTCGCACCCTCCCGCGCACCTGGTCTGTACCCTGGTTTTTGTATAAACAAACAAATCTTGGAAAAAAAAAAAAAAAAAAGCATGCTGCTGCCATGAACAAGGGGGAACAGGTATCTTTTCAAGTTAAGTGTTTACATTTTCTTCAGATAAATTCCTGAAGTGAAATTACTGAATTATCTGGTAGTCTTTAGTTTTTAGAGGAACCTCGATACTTTCTGTATTTGTGCAGAAGCGTTCGCTTTCCTCCACGTCCTTACCAACACTTATTTCTTGCTTTTTTGATATTTGCCATCCCAACAGGTGTGAGGGGATCTCCCTATAGTTTTAACTTCCTTGATAATTCACGATGAGCATCTTTTCATGTACCTGTTAGCCATCTGTATGTCTTCTTTGGAAAAATGTCTTCAGATCAACCCACTTTTTGGTTTTTTTACTATTGAATTGTCTGTTTTTTTGGATAGTAGCCCCCATGCAAATATTTTCTCCCACCCCCACTGGATTGTCTTTCATCTTGTTGGTTTCCTTTTATTGGTCCTCGTTTATTCCTCACTTTTGTCTTTAGTGTATGATTCAAGAAATTCAAGACACATGTCAAGTAGCTTGCTTACCTGCCTATATTTTCTTCTGAGCTTTTTGTTTCAGTTCAAGTCTTTAACTCGCTTCTTCATTATCTGCGTTAGTGTTGCAGTTTCAGACTTTTTCATGTGGCTGTTTGGTTTTCCCAGCACCCTTTATTGAAGAGACTGTCCTTTTTTCAGTGTATATTCTGTCAGCCATAAATTGGCCATGTGTGAGAGGGTTTATTTCTGGGCTCTGTTCCATTGACCTTATTTTTATTCCACGACCACACTGTTATAGTCACTACATGGAGCTTGACGCCTCCAACTTTGTTCAAGACTGCTGTTTGGGGTTCTGTAGTTCATACAAATTTCAGGAGTTTTTTCTGTTTCTGTGGAAAAACACCACTGGAATTTTGGTAGGGATTGCATTGAGTTTGTGGAAGCTTTGTACAGTGTGGGCATCGGAGAGCACTTTTCCAGTCCGTGAGCAGAGTATCTTTCTATTTTGTGTCTTCCTTCTTTCACTAATGTCTTCGAGTTTTCAATGTACAGGTCTTTAACCTCCGCGGTTAAATTTATTCCTAGGTATTTAATTTTTTACGCCATTGTAAATGGGACTGTTAATTTATGATAGTTTATTGGTGTGTAGAAATGCAGATTTTTGTATCCTGCAACTTTCCTGCATTCTGATAGGTTTTTAGTGAATATTTAGGGTTTCCTACACATCATCAGCAGTTTACTTCTTCCTTCCTTTACGATTTGGATGCGTTTCTTTTCCTGGCCTAATTGCTCTGGCCGGGACTTGTATATTAAGTGGTGGCAGCTGGCATAGTGTCTGATTTTTGAGGAGAAGCTTTCAGCTTGTCCTATGTAGCATTTATTATGCTGAGGTACAAACCTTCTATACCTGCCTTTTCTAAATGGATGTTGTATTTTACCAGATTCTTCTTACGCATTTATTGATATAATCAGCATTTTAATTCATCTTGGAAAGGTGGTGTATCACACTGACTTAAGGTGAACCGTCATCCCTGGAATAAACCCCACTTGATCATGGTGTCTGATCTTTTTAATGTATTATTATTAAATTTGGTTTGCTAGTGTTGAGGATTTTTGCATCTGTGTTCATCAAGGATATTGGACTGTCATTTCCCTGTGGATCCTTGTCTGGTTTTGGTGTCAGGGTAACGCTGGCTTCCTAGAGAGTCTGGAAGTGTTCCCTTCTCGAAGTTTTTGGAAGCAATTGAGGAAGTATTAGGTGTTCTTTAAATATGGTTAAGATTCATCAGTGAAGATGTCTGGTCCGAGTCTTTGTTGGGAGGTCTTTAATTAATTGGTATCCCATCAGTTTAGACTTTATTTCATCATGAAACATCTTTCACAGAGTTTGTTTTTCAGGCTTTTCCCCTCAGGTCATCCAGTTTGTTTCATGGTTCATAGTTTTGCCATCCTTTATATAGTTTACGTTAACATCACTTTAGTTTCTGATTTTGAGTTGTTTTTCTTGTGAGTCTGAAGATTTTCAGTGTTGTTGAAATAAACTGTCTTAACTATTTTGGAAGGATATTAAGTGCCATTTTGGTTTCACGAATGCATTATTTGCAGCACAAGAAAAGAAAGGAGTTGAAAAAAATTAACCAGCTTGTTACTTGGGATTAAAGGGCTTTTTAAAGGAGATAGGGGTATTAAATATTCCCATGCCACACTTACTCATTTAAAGAGGCTGTTGTTTCCTTTGAAGAATACACCTCATAACAGCAGTGTTCCGAAACACCTTCAGGTGTCATTTTCCTTAACATTCCCCACCCCCCAAACCAAAGGCCAAACTCTTTCTAATAAGTTCTTACCTGGGTGAGGTTCCTTATTTCACACCGCGTGCGCCCGCGTCCCTGAAGTTCGTTGTAGTGGGGTGTGACCCACAAACAGTATTTGATGGCCTGAATAAAAAATTCAACATCCTGTTTTTAATGATTTGTACGCGACATATTTGTATTGTCTCAATAAATACTTGGCCACCAGGGCTTTCATTTCGCCTGTTTCTTTCAGGGTTGCTCTAGGGTCTCGCCCTTAAAAGACAGCACTTCCAAATGCAGCTTTCTGTCCTTCTCTGCCTTCAGAGGAGCTACAGCAGTTAGCTAAGGTGCTTTCAGAAGGTGTGACCCCAAAAATATCCATTCGGGGGGAATATATTCTTCCCTCCAAAAAATACAGTCTTTAAAAATACATATTCTTTACCCAATGATATGAAAGTTGACATCTGTAAAGCCATTTTAAAGAGTAGGGAAGCCAGAGAAATCCTATCGCTGTTCTCGTTTGACGTAGGTCAAAGATATCTGACCACCACCAGATTTTTTTGACCGGGCCAGAAGCAATTAAACAATTGTTGGGCCTCCCCTAGCGATGCAGCAGTTGAACGCTGGGCTGCGAAGCTGCCCATAGCCTCTGTAAGTGCTGGTTCCATCCCCGGCCGCTGGCGAGGGTCCCACATGGCACGACAGACCTCTCCTGTCATGCTGTATTTCGTCAGTCTGCCTGTTCTGTTCCCCGCTCTGGCTCTGGTGAATTCTCTCACCCTCCCGCGCTTCTGACTGTAGCCAGTGCTTGTATAAATAAATAAATTAAAAAAAAAAAACAAAAACCCAGTTGAGTTGTCATCCAGATCTAGATAACTGATGATTATGGACTTTTAGCAGAACAGAATCAACTATCTCTAGCCAAGACTAGTTTGTTAACATTAATAAACTCTTTAGCCACTTACCATCTTATATTTTTTTCCTAAGAAACTAACCTTATGCCTCTTTGGGCATATTTTTAGGTTTAGCTCCTGGAGTTTTAGGTTAACAACAACTAAGCGTAATGTTTAGTCAATCCAGTCCTCAGTTACCGTCCCAACCACCATGCAAGGTATTAAGGGCCCACATTTCACAGCTCAGGTGCACAGGTAGGATAGAAATGGGTGGGGCAACTTAGTTCTGATCTTACCAGCATTCACATTCCTTTACAAATAATGCAGAGGGAAGGACGGGCTACAAAACAGACTCCTCAAGAATAACGAAGATAATAAAGGATAAACTTAAAATGTGGCTAAACCATGGCCTGGTCCGGTCCTGTAGACAATAAACTGTTACTTAGGAGGCCAATCACAAACTACACATTCTGAAACCGGTGGCCTGTTACGTTTATGAACGTTGCCTCATACTCTAAGGAAATGAAAACTTTTGACATCATATACAGATGTTGGGTAAAGCTGAACCAACCCACCCATTAACTTTCCCTGATTTTTCACCTTCCATTCATCCCATGGGCTAACCTTTATCAGATTTCCGATTTTCAAACTTTTCAACAAGTCAAGGAAATAACATACTAATACAATTAAAGCAAACACAAGTTCTTCCCAGGCTAAACCACAATGTTTATGGTCTGGTTACAAATTGTTAAAATTGGTTGACACTTAGTTCAAATAATAAAATCCAAATTATAGGAACAGCAAGTTCAGGCGAAGATTTGTAACAAATACCATGAGCAATTGGCTTGAAGACATTTTCTAACTGTCTGAATTATACTTAACGCCTGAAATCATAAACCTCTCCTAACGGGCCAAGAGAAGTGGCACACCTGGTCTTCCTCATACATGGGAAGTCCCCAGGTGCTTACATTTTTCTTTTTAGTGAGGTAGCATTCGTTTACAACATTGGATGGGTTTCAGGTACACAATTTCTCATCTCAGCAACTGTGTATCACCCCGTGTCCATCACCAATGTCCAGTCCAGGTGCTTAATGCAGATTTTTGGATCCTGCCCAGAGCCAATGAATCTGGCCATGCGGTCCTAAAACACACATTTGACACCACACCCACCTATCTAAATATGCACTCAATGACTAGGACTGATCCTCTGGCTCAATGAACCTAAGGGTATAAACATACTTGATTATTTACTCTTTTGGCACATGGCTTTCCTCCAGAGGTAATTTTTCAATCAAAAGCATTTCCTCACTGGGCCAGCCCGAGAAGTGAACTTTCACGTTTCCCCTTCTTCCATGAACAGCTCTCAGTTTTCACTTGCATGTGGAGCACATAACCCAAGCCTGCCCACTACTACTACAGTAGGGGGTTGGCCACAGGGAGTGAAACAGAAGTGGGTATACAGCCTGAGCCAGTTCGGTACAGAGATGCCCGCCAGACTTCGCTGCCAGCATGTATGCAGACCGGAGATGCCAGGTGCATCTGAGAATCACAGCTGTCAACAGAGAGAAAACAAGTCACCAGTCCTGAACACAGCCCTACATACAGACTTTAGTTTTGGGGGCCAAAATACTTCATTTTTCAAATAAGTCATCTTAAGTATGGTTGCGAGTCATGCCTTTTAAAAAGTACCGAGTAGAAACATTTCTAACACATTCAAGAAAACTTTCCAAGTGAAAACCCTAATATTCCCACCCATATGGGCTAAGAATGAACTTTTCAACACAAAAACCAGAGATCTCCACTTACTTCTCCTGGCATTCACTGTTACTATTTGCCATGTCAACGTGTATGGAGTATTACTAAATAGAACATTTCTACCCAAAACCAACATTTGATGATAGCCAAGATTATTTTCAATAAAAATATTTTCATTGGAAACAACGCAGAAAAGCTCCTAAACATCTTACATTTTTAAGTTTAGAATTCAATCCAGTAGTCAGCACAAAGTAATCGCGCACTCAAATTGAAAAATAAAATCATCGAAAGAAAGCTGTCCCAAGAGTTCTATGTCCCAAGACCAACAAAAAGAAACCTGGTTTTTAAAATTTTGGTAAGATGATCCAAAAACCACAGGAGGAAGACCGAAGTGGTGTGTCTCTCCACGAACACCTACTAAGGAAGAGACAGGTACACAGAGAAATGGTTGTTTATTTTCAACTTTTAAAAAGGTATGCCAATTTATCAGCAAAGTAGGCGTGATCCCTAGCACCAAAAAAACAAGTTACCTTCATACGTTGCAAAAACAGACACCTTCTCCTCCATTCCGTTGTCCAAATCACCTAACCGTATTGTCATTTCTCTCGTAACTCACCACCGCTACCCTTGATAAAAAGGTCTCCCTCCAGTAACTGTGCACCTGCATTATGAGTTAACACTAGAACAAAAAGTATTTCATAATTTTTTATTGATGGCATTTATCCCATGGTTTAACATGTTAATTATACTGTAATAAACATGGCTTTAATATTAAACTTTTCCTTATTATCCAAAGTCACCACAGTCCATTTCAGTAAATATAAAAATATATGCTTAATACTTTGTACAATACTGGTTTTTGGTCCAAACAAAAATGGATCAGAAAAGCCAATAAATTCATTTTAAGAATCCCCAATTTTTTTTAAAGATTTCCAAATGGATTTAGGCAACTTTGAATAATGGGATTTACATAATAAAATCTGAGACAAGACTAAACAAACAACAAAAAAATTTCTAACACAAAATTTCAAGTTCACAGATTTATGTTATGCCAAAGAAGTACGGAAACAAAATTGTATTTACACGAGTTTCATAATAAAATAATGAAAAAGGCAAGACAGGTGATAGAAGAATGAAAATATAGAAATAGCATATAATTATTAAATGGAGAATGAACTAGATCTAACGAGTCCTTTAGCATGGACCACTCTTTAATCAGGCTTCCTCTATCAGAAAATTTTAGTGCACAACACACCCAACTCACTCACTTCACACATACACCGGCACAAACTCAGCATAGAAATCATTCATTTCAACATCCTCTAATCTATACAGAATTCCTCGGATATAATTACAATTTCTATGCGCTCCATAAACGCGTCATCAACGCACGTAATGGTGCAGACGAAGAGGTGCTATACAAAGCCATTCGCCGAGCAGACTCTATATTCCTGGGTTCAGCCAGCCTATGCCAAATCAGTAAATAATTTGCTGGATCATAAAATATTTTTGCTGAAGAATCAGTCACCAGTCTAGCTAGTATTTTTTTTAAAAGGGAGCGGGAGAGGTGAGGGTGGGGTTTTTGTAAAGAAAGCAAATTCCAAATTAAAGAAGTCCTTAGGCAGATCCCCCAGCACGTAGTACAATCCAGTATGTGAAAGCAGGGCACCAGCTGTTGTGAAAACCGTTGGGTTTAACACCATTGTGACCTTTATTTCCTGCGCCTAACAGCAGTCTTTATTTTGCGACCAGAAACCGAAGTTCCAGAAGAAGAAAACATGTTTTTCCCATTTGACCTGTAAAAAAAAAATGAAAACTTCACAATGTGACATGATGCTCAGACAACACTTCAGATGCCCAACAACACTGAGTGTCACCAACCCATGACCAGGGGCAGGGAGACACCGCTAAGCCAATTTCTGTTCTCACTCTCGCTCACAAACACACACACACCCTGCCATTCCTCTCAGGGTACGATCCGCCCAGAGTGTAGGAAGGTACGCTGGTACTAGAGATCATGCTTCATTGGACTGTGTCACTCTGACCTGAATTACACTGCACTGCACCTTGGCGACTTTAAACACGACACACACATACACACACACGCACCATACACACCCTTACTATACTAAATTCTCGATTTCAACTAAAAGTTCTCTTACCCCACTGTAAATGCTGCTGAGGACTGGTTAAATGGAAACCCCCCTGAGCTGGAAGGCTGGGCTGAGGCTGCAGGCGTGCTAGGATTTGCACCAAATGTGAATACTCCTGATGGATTGTTGTTGGTGAAGTTGAAATTTGTACTGCTGCTGCCAAACTGGAAAACTGAACCTGCAATAGTTGAAGCAGAAAAACAACATAAATGTAAAAATGACAGTGTTTCTAAGCAGCGACTCTGACTTTTACAAACCAAGGCGTGTTACGTGTTAAGCTACCTTGGGGTCACTTAATTTAAAGATAATTACAGTATTTTCTCTACTGCACAGTACACACTCGACACCCTCTCCAACACGTGACGCAGCTTCCCGAGGGCCGAGTACAGTTCTGGTTAAAGAGAGCAGAATCAACACCAGTCAGCTCTACGTTCCTCAAACACTGCATCAAAATATCAGCAAAGGGGTTTTTACGAAGCTGGGAGGAGGAGACAACAAAACTGAGGAGCCGAAAGGCTCACTGAAGCGGAGCAACACGCTCAGCAAGAGGGAAAGCACAGAGGCCATTCCACGCACACAGACATTCCCAAAGACTGAGGTTCCGGGACAGGAGAATGAAAGTGACCAAAAGAAAAAAGAAGAGGGGGCCTCCCTGGGGGCGCAGGCGGTTGAGGGCCGCGCTGTGGAGCTGCCCGCAGCCTCTGCAGCGCCGGTTCAAACCCTGCAGGCCACAGAGATGCCCACATGCCGCGGCAGACCTCTCCTGCCTCGCCCCCTGCTCCCCTCAGCAGTGTATTTCATCAGTCTGCCTGTTCTGTTCCCCGCTCTGTCTCTGGTGAATCCTCTCGCCCCCCACGCAGCTGGCTTGTACCCTGGGGTTCTTGTGTAAATAAATCAATCTTTCCCAAAAAAAGAAGAATGATTGTACACCTACCTAAGAATCAGACACCCAGATCCATCTCTCCCTTCTACCCGTTAAACAGAACTTAACCTACAGACAGCTCCCAGGACCGGGAACACCACGCAGAGTTAAAAGCAAGGGTCTCATACTGGAGCCGGAAGGGCACAGGGCAGGTTGATACACAGGACCCTGAGAGGTGCGGGCGTCCACCTGACTGCTCCCGCAACGCCGAAGCAGGAGTGTAGGCACTCCTCTGGGGAAAGCCTAGAAAAATTTTCTATTGGGAAATCTGATAATCTAAAAGAAAAGACGGCAGGTATGAACATCTAGGTCTTCCCAAAAGCAGACCCATCCCATAAACCTACACTGAAACTCAAGATCTTTCTAAGCCCTACCTACGTGCAAAGAATTATCAAGTAGTATTCGGTGTGTCCTGCTCATAAGATGTAAACAGAATGGAAGAAAATATTTGCAACTACAGACCTGATAAGCAGCTAATAGCTAAAGTATGTATGGATTACAACAGAAATAAAAAAATTTAAATAAGGATGTGAACAGAAATTTTTCTAAATATCATATACAAATAGCTAACAAGTACATGACAAGAGGCTCAATATCACTAATCATCAGGGCAATGCTAATGAAAAGCACTAAGTGGTCATCTCGCACCTATTAGAACAGCTTTCGTCAAAAAGACAACAAACAGCGAGAGTTGGTGAGGAAGCAGAGAAAAGGGCGCCCTTGTGCCCTCTTGGGGGCGGTCAGCTGGAGCAGTCACCACGGAACACAGAAAGACAACTAACGACACATGTTCTCTTACCTGAGGTACTAAAAGAGTCAAAGTCATGGAAACAGAAGAATGTTGGCTGCCAGGGAGGGGGAAGAGGAGGAAATGGGTACTGAATTGCTGTTTAGTGGGCATGAAAGTTCTGTCAGGAAAGACAAGTTCTAGTGAGCGGTCACACTAATAAAGAAAAGCAATCTGGAGAAAACCAAGCCACAGCTTTACAGAAAAAAAAAATATCATAATATCCTCAAGAGCTCAATAATTAACACTTCAGGAACAAAACAAAAACCAAAATCTTCAAAGAAATAATTCAAGAAAATTCCCAAGACTAGAAGTTCACACAAGGACACACCACATCCCTTACACAATCAATGGATTAAAATGGATCCAGGCCAAGGGATATCACCCTCATAAGTCAGAACACGGAAGGCAAAAGAAAAGATTCTAAAGAGATTCTAGAAAGAAGAAACAGATCAGAAACAAAGATCAAAAAAAAAGACTTCAAAAGCAAGTATGAGGGCTGGAAAGTCCACGATGAAGAAAAACTTAAAAAAAAAAAAATCACAAAAGTGATTTCAAATCTCAATGTATACTCAAGCATAAGGGTGAAAGAAAGAACCTTCCAGAAATGTAAGGTCTCAAAGTTTTCTTCCCCGAATCCTTAAGAAATCACTGGAAAATGTATTCTACCAAATGAGGGCATGGCTAAGAAGGAAGAAGAGACGACAACCTGGTAAGTCATGAACCTTTGCAAGAGGAAAGAAAGTTAAAGAAATCTCCAAGAAGAATACAGGAGCTCCCTCATGCCCAGTTAAACTGCAGGCTTAGAAATCCCAGTGGGAGGAGCAGGTTAGAAGATGCCGTGAGAAATTTCTTTCAGATACTGAAAAGTTGAGATATGAAAAAAATATGGAGATCTACACAAGTGAGAGAAGAGCCAGTTTTAACCGGCGACAAGTACAGAAGAAAGGTTAGAGAGAGGGAACCTGACGCCAGAGAAAACAAAACTTTGTAAAGGAAAGAAAAAGTATACAAGTGGAACTTACAGACTCCTAATCGGGGTGTAACCACCCAGTGTTACTCTGTTAGACAGAGGGAAATGTTACCTCCATGGAATCTTCACTTAACAGACCTCCCTGGCGGCCTCGGGGTAAGTCTCAGCACTATCACCGCTACGGCCTAAGTTCGATCCCCATAGCGCAGCAGACCTCTCCTGTCTCGCCCACTGCTCCCCCCTTGAAGTACATTTCAGTGAATCCGCCCGTTTGGCTCCCCACTCTGTCTCTGGTGAATCTACTCACCCCCGTACCTCTGGCCTACTTCCCAGCTCTCCTACTGGGGAAAAAAAAAAAAAAAAAGAAAAAGAAAGCAAGCTACAATTTCTAATTTTAATATCCGGAATACATAAAGATCCCCTACAAATCAATAAGCACAAACAGAAGAACCAAGCAAAAAAGTGGGGAAAAAAATACAAAAACAATTCCCAAAAAAAAGAACTCAAGGTCACAAGAATGCATACCGCTGCATTCGCTAATAAAAGAAAGAACAGCTCAAACACTCATCAACAGTATACAAATTATGGTATAGTCACACAGTGATTTGCTCTCTAGCAGTGAATTAAACTACATGCACTCATACAAATGAACTTTACAAACAAGAGTGAAAACAATGCAAGCATTGAATACAGTAGATTTAAAAATCAGGCAAAACAATACTCTCTACAGATGACTATATCAGCAGTTAATTTTAATCAAAGCCCAAGAAAAATGTTTACCATAGAAGTCAAGACATTGTTAGATGAAGGAAAGAGGAATGTGATCAAAAAGGTACACAGAAAAGGTTCCTGGGCGGTGAAGCGCTTGCTTCAACATCACACTGTTCACTTATGCTTCACGCTTTCCTCATTCACAAACGAGGAAAACATACCCAGTGTAATTTTAGGGAAATATATCATTATAATACAATGTGATTAGCCACATTTTAAAAGTCACAGAACGGGCCTCCCTGGTGGCGGAAGAGTTAAGCACAGCACTATGAAGCTATCGGCAGCCACTGCAGCACAAGTTCGATCCCCGGCCAGACAGAAACCCACATGGCGCAGCAGACCTCTCCTGTGTCGCCCGCTGCTCCCCTCAGCAGTGTATTTCAGTACATCTGCCTTTTCTGCTCCCCACTCTGTCTCCTCGGTCTCTGGTGAATCCTCTCACCCCCCCCCCCGCACCTCTAGCCTGTGCCCCAGTTCTTGAATGCATAAATAATTCTTCAAAAAAATAAAATAAAAGTCACAGGAACATCTACTCAAATATGCAAGTCAAGTGAAAGGTTAGAATCATCAAACAGAAAACGTTATGATACCAGTCAGCAAGACTATGCCCAGAAAGTTACTGAGATGGGTCTGACTTCCGGACGTAAAGCAAATCATAAGAGAAAACAAGCTGAAATCGAGACTGAAGTGTTTCAAAATCCAAATGAGGAGAACATGGAGCTGAACGAATCCAGTACCTGAATCAAAGGGTAAAATTCTGATCAAACATCATAATACCTTAAGAATGTTCAATTGTGTGAAAGTTGTGAATCTTGTTTATAGCCTAAACATATACTTCTGTTACGCCAAGTACAACACACATACAAAAAAGTTCACAAAGAAATAAAATTACATGTAAGACAATCAGAACCTAAGTATAGACACCAACGCCACCACTACGCCACACTTACTGGAATTCGGAGCTGTCCCAGAGCCAAACGCAGACTGACCAGGCTGCTGTCCAAACACAGGAGGCTGGCTGCTGCTCGACACGGCCCCGAAAGTAGGCGGTGGGGGCTGAGAACCAGCAGAAAATAATGCTGCTGTCGATGATATAGGCCCAAAGCCTTGGGGATTAGGTTGGCTGGCACCTTGACTCTGTCCAAATGTTGGCGTTTGGTTAGTACCAAATGCTGGACTGGCAGATGGTGCTGACGGTGCAGTGCCAAATACAAAGGAGGATCCTACAGGGGCAAAAAAATGCTTCAATCATCATGATAGTTAGAATGAGAGAATCTTCAAAAATACCCTAGATACTCAAAAACAAATTTTAAGCTTCTTTTCAGGCCTTTTATCTTGCTGAACAAATCCCAATCAGACAAATTTTGAATGATTAAGAAAACAATTCTCTCCCATTTGATATAAAACTATATGGAATCCATATTTAAAAAAAAAAAAAACAAACCCACACCCAAACTTCTATCAACATGTCTCCCAATCTTTGCAGCTAAAAGTTTCAGAAAACAGAGTTAAAAAGACAAGTTTAACACACGGCAGAAATCAGCCGAAGCTGTACACATGTATACACTGCTGAAATGAGGACTGATGTCTAGTAAAACAACTCCCAGTGTCTGGCTACTTACAACTTAGTATTTCAAAATATTAACTTGGAAAAACTAAAGCATACACTCTTGCTGAGATTAGAAAAACTGCTTACAAGAGTTAATTATAATAAGCTTAAGCACAAAATTTACATTATTCCATAGTAAAGGACACCTCGAGATGCCCCAAGGCACCCAGTCATAACGCACTATATGATTTGCCAACAGCTGGCATAATTAAAATCAATGTAACGACTAGACGCATGACTTTTCTTTCCGAAATGTACCTGAGGAGCTAGACGTGGTGGTAGCTCCAAAGCTGAAGCCAGAAGTTGCAGTATTATTACTGTTGGCTCCTGGCCCAAAGACAAATGGGGTCACAGCTGTACCCGTGCTGGATGTGGTTGCTGGTTTGCTCTCTTGAGAAAACAACAAGGACTGAGATGTACTGCACTCAGCAGAGTTCCCGAAGGCAGAGCTGCTCACAGGATTGCTGGCCTGTCCAAACACAAAGGCAGTCACAGGTGCACTGGAGGAAGAGGTGGAGCTACCAAATATTCCACTACCAGCTGAAGTAGCTGGAGTACTTGAACTAGAGGAATTATTGTTCAAGAAACTAAAAACTGGCTTTGCTGCACCTTGATCTGTAAGACAGAAATTAAAAAACAAAAATCTTTAAGAACAAAATAGTCCAGAAAGCATTATTTTTGCCTACCATATAATCTAAAAATTCATTACAAAACAGAATCATTTACATAGAATTGTTCTTCAAATGGACATGTTACATAAAATTTTGATGTAATCAAATACATCGTACCTGTTATTGCTTATGGATTTTCTTATATAGGAAAACTTTCAGCATTCAAATAAATAAAGGAAAAAATATTTGTTAAATCCATTTGCTAAGTGGATATTGCAGTTAAATTCTAACTGGGTAGCAGATTTAGATAGTGAAAAGAAAAGGACTTCTACAAATATTATTTTGTAATTTACGTTAGCAAGATAATTCAATTTATCTGAATGATAGCCAATTTCCTCTGTAGCACTTAACTAATGGATAATTTGTAACTCCAACTTTGACATGTTAAATTTCCGCATATATGTATGTACACTTTTCCCTTTATAGTTATCATTACCAGACTGTTTCACTTATTGTAGTTTTACTGTTGTTTTGATATTAGTACACAAACCTGACTGTGTGCCTGCCCTTCTCCCCAAAATTTCTTGTGCATTTTCCCTTCCATGGGAGTTTTTAGTATTAGTGCCAGTTTGTTAAGCTTCACAAAAATCCCTCCAAGAAGTCAGGGGTGGAGGGACAGGGAAAAATAGTCTCATGAAGAAGTATTAAATTTTTATAATGCTTTTAATTGAGGAATACTACAATTTCTGGCACTACTGTAAAATATAAACTAGAAAGGCTAGAAAACATAAATGAAATATGCTGTCCAGTTATTTATTGCCAATATGGAGAAAGGTTATTGACTTTTATATGGTGAGCCTAAATCTAGGCACTGCATTTAAAAAAATTTGAATTGTTTCATGCGAAACGTCTGCGGCGCCAGTTCGATCCCCGGCTTATCTACTGCGAACCTCTCCTGCCGCCCGGCTGCAGTGATGCTCTGCTTATGCTCTGGTGAATCTCTCACCCTCCCGTGCTTCTACTGTACCCAGTGCGTTTACAGAAAATAGCAAAGTTAATTGAGTGTTTCTACGTCTCAGTTCAATGTACACAGATAGCATTATATAGCAATAGCATGATTAAATCTTGTCTATTAGACCCATGATTTCATTAGACCCTATTTCATTTTTACTGCTTTCAAAATAATATATAATTAGGTCTTTATTTTCGTTGAATGCTGTTTTTAAATTTCCAAGTGAAAATTTCAGATAAAAAATTCAAACCCATTTACTGAATTTCATACTGTTTTTTCCAGTTAATTTTTCATTTTGTGTTTCTAATTTATTATTCAAAAATGTTCTTGGTTATCCAATTTTTGAGTCTTTGCTTGCCTGAAAACATCTTGTATTTTGTCCCTATGCTTGAGCAAATCTAGTAAGTTACAGAATTCTAGGTTCAAGGCCATTTTTACTTTGAAGGCACAGTCTTCTATGTTTTCAGCATCTGATGTTATAGTCTGATGTTAATCTGGCTCCAGTTTTTTCCCAAAGAGCTTTTCTCTCAGAACTTTCAAGAATTTGATATTGGTCTCCTAAAATTTCACCAAACTTTGTCAATGAGAGCTATTTCCATTTTTGAGTATAGTATTACTCTTTGTATCTACGAAATTTTCGTCTGTCACTGATTTTTTATCTTAGCTTCTAAGCACTTGTATTGCAACAAACCTTGTGAGTCTAGTCTGGATCAATCTCACACTTTTGCACTGCACTCTGGGAAATTCCAGTTCATTAATCTAATTAAGCTTTTTTTCTATTACTCTGTCCACACAATTTTATTTCACTAACCATGTTTTTAATTTTCAAAAATGCAGTTTCATTTTTCTTTAAGGTGTTAGTTGTAAAAATCACCCTTATTTTTAAACTATTAACTATTTGCTGTTTAATTTTCTTAAGTGCCTGATGATGACTGGTTATCTTTATAAATGAAAATGGGCACATTAAAAGTTTATGAGTAGGGCCTCCCCGGTGGCGCAGTGGTTGAGCGCTGGGTTGCGAAGCTGCCCGCGGCCTCTGTGGCGCCAGTTCGATCCCCGGCCACCAGAGAAGGGTCCTGCTTGGCGCGCAGACCTCTCCTGCCGCCCGCTGCTCCCCTCAGCATTGTACTTCAGTCCTTCTGCCTGCTCTGCTCCCCGCTCTGGCTCTGGTGAATTCTCTCACCCACCTGCGCTTCTGACTGTACCCAGTGCTTGTATAAATAAATAAATAAATAAATAAATCTTTTAAAAAAAAAGTTTGAGTTATAAAGTATTTGTGTGTGTGTAAAACAACTGGGGTGTAGGACAGAGGCGCAGGAGGTGAGAGGATTCACCAGACACAGAGTGGGGAGCAGAACAGGTGGATTTACTGAAATCTACTGCCAAGGGGAGAGTGGGGAAGACAGGAGAGGTCTGCTGCGTCATAGATGAGTTAGATCCCTGGCCAGAGATTGAACTCAGGCCATAGTGCTGAGATTTAACCCCTAAGCCACCAGGGAGGCCCAAGTTAGGAAGTAGTATTGGGCTTAAAAAAAGACCGCTTACTGTTCAAAACAGTACACACCAATTCTGATTATAAAAACCCAAACAGGAAGGCGAAAGACACAACAATTTGTGCTTTTCATTAGAGCTGTGTTACTCAAAATCTATAAATAACTTCATCAGAATCGTGGGCATTTTGAGCAGTTAAAACTGAAATCCTAGGGGGGGTCTCCCTGGTGGCACAAGGGGTTGAGCACCTCACTGTGAAGCAGTCCACAGCCTCTGCAGCACAAGTTCGATCCCAGGCCACCAGGGAGCAGCCCACATGGTGCAGCAGACCTCTCCTGGCTCGCTAGCTGCTCCCCTCAGCAGTGGATTTCAGTCAGTCTGTCTGTTCTGTTTCCCACTCTGTCTCTGGTGTGTCCTCTCACGCCCTACATCTCTGGCCTGTACCCCAGCTCTTGTATGCAAAAATAAAAAAAATAAAATCTTTAAAAAAAAAAAAAAACTGAAATCCTAGGTTCCTTCCCAGAGAATCCTGCTACCATTACTCATTTTCTCTCAACTATGCTCAGGGTTTAAAACATTCCTTGGCTTGTTGCACTTGTCAAGATAACAAAGACATTTTCTTTTTTTTCTTTTTTTTTTTAAAAAAAAAATAGGCTTTAATGACTTACCAGCTGTAGTACTGGTTTGAGCTCCAAAAGCAAAAGTGGGTTTTGCTGGCTGCTGCTCAGATTCCTTCTCAGATGGTTTCGCCACACTGAAACTAAAGGTCGACTTTGAAGAACTCTCATCTTTGGTTTGTTCTGAATTCCCAAAGGAAAACACCGTTTGACACTTTGGCTCTTCACTGTCAGTTTTCTTCCCAAACACTAGAGAAGTGGAAGTGACGGGCTCTTGCTGTTTCTCTTCTGTCCTTCCCAAAGTGAACATTGAGGCAGATGGCAGCGGGGTAGGTTCCATATTGCCAAAACTGAACCCTCCTTTGGTGGCAGGGATTTCCTCTTTCTTTGCTTCCGATGTCTTACAAGTAAAAGGAGCCACTGAGACACTCTTGGTTTCTACAGTTCCAAAGCTGAAGCTGCTCTTATTCTCAGAAGTCACAGAGGTCACTGTGGTGTGAGTAGCAGCAGGAGTGGGGTTAATAACACCTGTACCAAAGCTAAAACCAGCGGATGAAGATTTAGACAGTCCCTCTTTCTTTTCCTGCTGTCCAAGATTAGACACCCCAAACTGAAAAGGAGTTAAAGAAGCTGAACTGTTTAAGCCAGCAGAAAGTCCAAACTTAAAATTATTATCATTCTTACTGTCTTTTTTAACTTCTTCAGGTTTAGACTCAGACGAAACCCCAAATTTAAGATCGCCTATTGGTTTAGAAAATTTAAAGCCTTCACTCATGGGATTAGACCCAGAATCTGATGTCACGTCTATTTTGAAGCCTCCCTGATCTCCAAATTTAAAATTTCCAGTGTTTGTTAAAGTCTGAGAGGGTGACGGGATACCAAATTTGAAGGATGACGCTGCTGGGTTCGAAGATGAGGAAGCTGTGCCAAAGCCTTGAGAGAGAGAGAAAGAGAGATCATATTCACATAACTTTTATCACAGCATGTTGTTATAACTGTTCTATTTTAGTATTAGTTCTTGTTAATTTCTTATTGTGCCTAACTTGTACTAATTTGGTGACATCTGTGGCTTCAGACATCCACGAGGAGTCCTGGATCATAGCCCCACAGCAAGGAAAGGTTACTGTATACAAAATAACAGCATATATATGCTTATAGTTTGCAAAAAGAACTATGAAAGAGTTATAAGAAACCAACCATAGTTGGTTTTTGGTGGGGGCAGAAGGATGGAAAATGAACCAATGGGGACAAACTTTTCATAGTACATCTTATAATTTGATTTATAAAAACAGTCCATGTCTTATTTATGCAAGCATTTTTAAAAATCAGCATCAAAGAACCAAAAGAATGACATGAGTGGAAGCAATATCTAAAAAGATAACAGTATAATGACAAGATCCAAGTCATAGTTTTCATAATGCTTTTCTGCAGCTGAATACACTAGAAATAAAGCATTTGGTTGACTGGTTCAAATCAGGAATCGTTTAATAAAGGGCGCCAAGATATTTACTTTACTCTGCTTACCATGTACAAATAGAGATACCTAGCAGTCAAGCTTTACAAGTCTCATTCAGATTTTCTCTTTGAACAATTCTCTATCCCCACTTTCTTTCCCTAAGAATCTTAATTGCAAACTGTATCCGATCTCAGGAGCAAGCAGTTATGTACATGGTCTCTAAAATACTTTAAGTGATTCAATTAGAAGCTAAAAATAAAGGGGCCAAAAACAACTAACTAGTTTTCACCTCTGCCTCAGAGTTGCTCCAAGGTAGCTCTGCCTCCAAGGGACAGACGTAAAGGTCTGAGGATTACTGCACTCCACAGAGAGAAGAGGGGAGGAAGAACCATAGGCAGGTAAAAGCTACCAACTGAGCTGAGATGAACTGGAAAGCAGGGATTTTTGAAAACACCTGAACGCAATGTTTTCTGGCCAGTTGTATCTCCATTAGTCATGCAATTACTTTAGTGGGTTGCATTGTGCATATTTCTTCTAAAAGGAAAAATACAGAACACACTATGGCATCTCACACACGGGAGCTAAGAATTTGTAAAATGTTTCTCTGAATTACATAAATGAATACACGGTGCATGTGACAGGTCATAATGTAATATGACTGTTTTGGTCTGAATCAAAAAAGTTTGAGAGCCACTAGTCCAAGGTATAATTACAAGTAGATCAAGTTTGGCTTTCTTGTTTCAATGCCCTAGTAGTCCTAACTACTTTCTTACCGAGTGAAATCTTTCTCGCATCTCCCTGACTAGCCCTTTAAGACCTAAAATCTCATTTCCAGCTTTTATCAAACTTTGACTGAAATGTTCTTATATGAAATAATCCATACAGGGATATGAAGACTTAGAAAAATTTGGCCTTCAGATACTCAGCATAAATTACTTTGAGGTTCTTCCTTCTTTTATATTAAGAGAGCTATTTTTTTCTAAGACATCCTATGGGAAACCAAACCCAAGTCTAGATGACTCACAGTAAGGTTCTAGGGATATAAATTCCTGCTAAGTAAGAGTTAAGTTTTAAAAAATAAGAAACTAAAACTCTCAGACTCAGTAATACAAAATACAATAGCTCTTTACCTATCTACAGAAAAGAGCTATCATACTGCTAACAAGCAAATCATCTGATTTTACAGTAATACAGGTAGAAGTGAGCTCAACGTTTAGGACAGTATCTCATTTTACATAATCTCTCAATAGATACATAATTTCTCAATAGAGAATAACTAATTTAAAAACTAAAGTCAGCTGCAAAAATTTCACTTTAAAATGGCAACATGAGGCATTTTACCAACAGCTTACCTTTAAACTCTGATTTTGTGCCTGGTTTTTCACTTTCACATGCTACGCATTTCGTGGAATCTACTTTATTCTGCACTAGGCACACTTCACAGTCCCAACTTCCCTCAGGTTTCTTGAACATGTCCAATCCTAGGCTGCCTCCAGAAGACAGAGATACAGGGACAGTGCTGCTACTAGAAGCAGGCACTGAACTTCCTAAAAAATAAGGAGGGAAACATTTTTTTTTAAATAAAGGAGAAATCTGAAAATTCTAATTTGTCAATATTATAATGACACCATTAAGTCTAAGTATTCCATTTTTAATGTTTCCGATTAAAAGTCAGAAATAAAAACATAACACTTTTACAAACAGTGGATAAACATCTCAGATTTCTTTAGATTTCTTTAAGTCTTACAAATGAGCAGCTCACATACACCTTATTCAGTCATGCGATACCTCACAACCCCAAGTCTGAAGAGTCATATTTAACCAAAAAAAGCCTCACAAATCAACGCCTAAGAGACTAAATTTTCCTTAAGAATCTTTGTCGATTTCTTCAAACAGCACAGCATTATAAAACAAACATAAAAAGTTACAGGCATTATCCTAACACATAGCCACAGACCACGTTCATTTCAAGATTTCAAAGCACAGGTCTCTGCTTTTAAAGTGATCACTTCTCCAGGAAAGTGTTCTACACCAACTTTGCAATTTAACGCAATACTGCCTACTAAGTTCGTGTTAATTTTGTTACAAGCCAGTCATCTAACAGACATTTAGCAAGTACCAAAATGTACTTAGGTTCTGGGAACATAAAGATGAATAAAATGTTGCTTAACTTCTAAAGGTGCACTTGGTTTAAAAAGAAGAAATACATGAACGCATCCTATCACTATCACCACGAAGAAAAGTGATAAATGATCTCATGTGAGAGTGAAGGGGGAAAGGCTGATCAACACGGCAGCGAAAGGACAAGGTTGATCCCTTTGATCAAATTCTCCCATAAAAACATCCAATAGGGAGAAATTAACTGTGAAGTCCCGGCAGGACCTGGGCGCTTGACACGGACTTGGTGGCACCCCTGATTCACTCAGACTGCTGAGGGAACTTGGAAAGAAGGGGGGAAGGGAAACAAAGAAAATCATTGGAACACTGCGCCCCGCCCCTCCCCACAAAGCTGGCATAATACCTAGAAGTAAAGGAGGAAAAGCTGGAAAACAAGGACCAGGAGAATCCCAAGGCATTGGAGGGGTCTGGACAACAAAAGATTGGGGGGGGGGGGCCTCCCCATGGACATAAAGCCCTGGGAGCAACTCCCTCAAGGTGGCATCTCCCTCCCCCTACCCCTCCTGGAGGCCTGAGCCAGCATCTAACCAGTCCAGTGCACTTACTCGGGAAGGACATCAGACCGGTCAGTAGGCACATTTACACAGGAAGGACATCAGGGGGAGCCTGCAGGGCTGGTCCCTACATTGGGGGCCTCTTGGTTCTCCAAACCCTCAGGTGAGGGAGGCTGCAGGAGCCGCCACACTCACCAACTACCTCATGGGCCCGGAAGGTGTGCTGATGCGCCCACACCCACAGACACCCACAGCTGCAGTTCTTTTTTGCACCGTCCAAGATCGGTGGGGTTTTAGGGTTTTTTTTTCCTTCTTTTTCTTTTTCTCTCCTGGAGGACACGAACTCACTGGGAAACAGCTGAGCCCTGAGAAGCAATTCTCCCGCCATCTGTTTATGTGTTTGTTTATTAGCCAGTTCGTTGTCTGTTATCTGATATTATTTGTTTTCTATTCTTCTTTTTTTAAAAAAAGATTATTTATTTATGTATGCATGCAAGCACTGGGTACAGTCTGAAGCGCAGGAGGGTGAGAGACTTCACCAGAGCCAGAACAGGGAACAGAACAGGCAGACTGACGAAGTACACTGCTGAGGGGAGCAGCGGGCGAGACAGGAGAGGTCTGCGCACCATGTGGGACCCTCGCTGGCGGCCGGGGATCGAACCGGCACTGCAGAGGCTGCGGGCAGCTTCGCCGCCCAGCGCTCAACCGCTGCACCACCAGGGAGGTCCCCTTGTCCCCCATCTTGCCCTTCCTTCTTCTCTCACTTTTGTTCTGTCTACATTCTCTATCATCTTCTTTCCTCTCCCTCCTTTTTCTCTTTTGATCCCAGTATTCTGCTGAGACACACCTAGAGGGACCCAGCCGCTCAACAGAGAAATAAACCCCACCCAGCCTGAAGGTCCTCCCAGTGGCCTTGGCCCCAACATGTGTCTGGAGGTGCAGGGCTCCACAGAGACTCCCGACCACCACAGGCCGAGCTATTGGATCCCATCCTACACAGTAGGGACCAGACAAACAGGGGCTCCTGGTGCAAAACACAGCTCAGAACAACACCTACCATAACAGAAGTGTCCAGACATGTATCCAGTCACACCAGCTCAGACACTAGGCAGACACATCCACGCCTGAGCAAGAGAAATCAGAAGTCATGCCCACCAGCACCAGTGGTACAGCGGCACTATGAACAGAACAAAGCCAAAGGCAAACAATGGAAAGAAAGAAAATTACTAACGATCAAGCAGGCCCTTCTGGGAATGATACACCACAGAAAGTCAACCTCCAGACCCCAATAACATGGACATGGAAATAATCTACCCCTAACAAAGAATTCAAAAGGGCCATAATGAAAACAATAAAAGAGATAAGAGAAAAGGAAGAAAGAGAGAAGACTATCATCAATGAACTGAGGAAGAAAGCGAAGGAACTGGAGGATATCCAGAGATTAGCAGAGGAACTCCAAGAAAACAGAATGGAAGACATGGAGAACGAGTCAGTACTCTCCTAGATACAGACATAAAAAGAACCAAAAATGAAAAGGAAAGAGAAGTATAAATGAAAGAGTGAAAAAACACTTCAAGAAATATCAGACACGGGCCTCCCCGGTGGCGCAGCGGTTGAGCGCTGGGTTGCGAACCTGCCCGCGGCCTCTGCGGCACCGGTTCGATCCCCGGCTGCTCCCCAGCCACCGGAGGAGGGTCCCACATGGCGCGCAGACCTCTCCTGCCGCCCGCTGCTCCCCTCAGCAGTGTACTTCGGTCCTTCTGCCTGCTCTGTGTTCTCCGCTCTGGCTCTGATGAATTCTCTCACCCTCCCGCGCTTCTGACTGTACCCAGTGCATGTATAAACAAAAACAAACAAAGAAAGAAAGAAAGAAAGAAAACATGCCTCTATATAAAAAAAAAAAAAAAAAAGAAATATCAGACACCATGAGGAAAGGAAATATGAGAGTCATAGGAATCCCAGAAGGTGAGGAGATAAACTGAGAAACTATTTAAGGAGGTAATTGAAGAGAACTTCCTGAGCATGAAGACAGAAATGAAAATAGACAAACAAGAAGCTAGAAGAACACCAAATTACCACAGCAAATGAAAGGAAATGAAAGGAAAATTACAGCAAGACACATAATAGTAAAGTTTCCAAAGGTCCAAGACAAGGAAAAAATAATGAAACTGATGAGGGTGAAGAAACACAATCTATAAAGTGCCTATCCTACATAAACTCTTTCAAATCATTGAAAAGGAAGGAATACTACCAAATACGTTTTATGAAGTAAACATTACACTAATACCAAAACTTCAATTTTGGACAACTCAAGGACAACACAAAAAAAAGGGTCAATTTCTCTAATGAATGCTGATGCAAAAATCCTCAATAAAATCCTACAATGCATCAAAAAGATAATTATTCACCATGACCAAATAGAATTTATTCCCAGGGCACAAGGATGGTTCATCATCCGAAAAATCAATTAATGCAATCCAACACACCAACAAAAAGAAAAATCCTATGATTATATCAATAGATGCAGAGAAAGCATTTGACAAAGTTCAACATCCATTTATTTTTTTTAAAGATTTACTTATTTATGCATACAAGAACTGGGGTACAGGCCAGAGGTGTGGGAGGTGAGAGAATTCACCAGAGTAGGGAACAGAACAGGTGGACTGACTGAAATACACTGCTGAGGGGAGCAGTGGGCGAGACAGGAGAGGTCTGCTGCGCCATGTGGGTAGCTCCTTAGCCGGGGATCAAACTCGTGCTGCAGTGGCTGCAGATAGCTTCATAGGCTGTGTCTTAACCCCTTGCGCCACCAGGGAGGCCCTCAACATCCATTTATGATGAAAGCCCTCAAAATTCTCAGAATATAAGAGACATACCTTAACATAATAAAGGCCATATACGACAAATCCATAGGCACTATCATTCTCAATGGTGAAAAGCTAAAAGCCTTTCCCTTAAGATCTGGAACAAAACAAGGATGTCCACTCTCACCACTGCTTTTAATAAAATAGTGAGAAAACAGAAAGATACACAAGGAATCCAAATAGGAAAAGAAGTAAAGCTATTGCTATTTGCAGATACATGATAATATACATAGAGAACCCTAAATAAGGTCACAGAAAAACTAATCAAGGTAATCAACCAGATCAGTACAATAGCAATATACAAAATCAACACACACAAACCTGTAGCCTTTCTATATGCAAATGATCACTCTGAAGAAATCAAGAAAACCATACCTTTTATAATTGAAACAAAAAAATCAAATACTGGGGAAAAAACCTAACGAAAGAGGTGAAGGACCTATAAAAAGAAATTACAAAGCTTTGTTAAAAGAAATAGAAAGACATCCCCTGCTCCTGAATCGGAAGAATTAACATTTTCAAAACGGCCATCCTACCAAAAGAAATTTACAGATTCAATGCTATTTCAATAAAAATTTCAATGACATTCTCCCAAAAAAAAAAAAAAAAAAGATGAAATTCACATGGAACCACAAAAAAAAGGTCAAATAGCTAAAGCTCTACTGACCAAAAAAAGAAGGTGAATGGAGGCAGCACACTCCCAGACTTCAAACGTTACTACAGAGCCATAATAATTATTTTTTTTTTAAATAGTCGACTAAGTTTCATTTCTTTCTTTTCATTTCTAGAGGGCGCCACCACCTTTAATATTTCTCAAATCTATTTCATTCTCTTTTCCTGATCCGCCCACTGCCAAGAGCCCACCCCCTGCAAGTCTTGCTTAGGAGCCTTCTTTTGAGGCCACTGGTCTTGTTCCCCTGAAATCCATCCTTCTAAGAAGCAACCAGTGCCATACAATTTCTTTTTCCTCTCTGGTTACTCCTTTAAAAGATTAATTGTTCCTATGTTTTATTCCTGTACTTCTTAACTTAGAAAGAATTCAATTGTAGGGCTTCTTCTCTACTTCACTCATTCAACTTATATCCCCTCCACTTCCACAACTTATTTGAAACGTAAGAGCTAATGGTCCCTAAATCTGTGTATCTCATACATTCCTTACCCTTAGTTATCTCAGTACACATCACCATCATCTTTACCTATATGACTGATGATAAAACTTCCTAACCTCTTCTCTGGTCTCCAAAGTTTGTCATCTTCAAAATCTATGCTCCAGGGCCTGCCTGGTGGCACAGGGTTTAAACAGTGCTATCAAGCTATTGCCAGCCATTGCAGCAAGAGTTTGATTCCCAGCTGGCCAGGGAGCTACCCACATGGCACAGCAGACCTTGCCTGCTGCTCCCCTCAGCAGTGGATTTCAGTAGATCCTCCTGTTCTGCTTCCCACTCTCTCTGGTGGATCCTCTCACCACCACCACCACCACCACCACCTCCGCCCCCAGCACCTCTGGCTTACACTCCAGTTCTTGTATGTATAAATAAATCTATCTTATAAAAAAAAAAAAATCTATGCTCCAAAAACCAACTGAGAGATTTATCAAAAATAAAAACTTGACTACATCACTCCTCTGCTCAAAATAGTAGTTCATCATTTACGTATGAGCTTTGTGTGTAACAATTTACTTCCTGACTAAAGCTTTATTCTTTCATCAACTCAGAGTTATTTTTGGTTTCTTGTATCCATCAAGGGCTTTCTTTTTTTTTTTTTCCCAGAAGAGGAGAAGAAATGCCAGATGGAAAGAGAAAGGTATTTCAGAATGAAGTTTCTGAAATCCTACTCTTGTAGAGATGTCCAGTAGGAGTTAGAAATACCACCCAACCCTTGTGTTCAACAAGGAGGGGTAAAACTGGACACAACGAGTATACAATTACCTGGGCTAAAATAACTCGGGGTTTCCATTGCAGACTTAAAACAACAAAACCTTGAGCAGTGCAATAAAAATAAAGTAGCTCCCACATCATGTGACTACTTATCTATACCCAATAATTATACAATGATATTATAGAATCAATGCAGTCATTTCCAGATGAATTAAAAATGAATTAAAGATCAATGTGAATCTTCAGCAACTCTTTCAAATTTCAACCAAGTAACAGGGGAAGAAAAATTAACCATTATTTTGGTTGCCTGATATTTTTTTCATTAATGATTCAGGAATTTACTCTCATTGTACTATCTCTGGCAGACAGCATGCGGGTAGCACCATTAAAATTCAATCACAGCCATAATGTCCTTGAAAATTTCATGACGTGGAAATGACTAGTCATCCTCACTTCTACTTAGAGAAAAAGAAACAAAGAAATGTTTTACTCTGTATGAAAGTTTAAGAAAGACTTCCTAGTTCTAGGACCTTTCAGCACCTACAATAATCAACTTGAAAATGATGCTGAAAGCAAGAAGTTTCTGATAAAACTGGATACAAAGAGTATACAAAGGACGGATTAACACACAGCCTATTCTAAGAAAACACATGGTAGTCTATTTTAAGAGAACAGGCTGATACAGCCCCAAGCAAATCAAGATAATTTAGAAAAATTAAGATGTGTAAGAAATGCTTGTTCTGAAACATTTAAAATACTAAGGTTGTTCCAGGCAATCTTACACAGAAAAAATTTAAATTCTCTAATAAAGGAATATAAAAAATTATTCCAAATAGTTGCAAACATACCTGGTTTCTCAGACATACAGGACACACATTTATTGTCTTCGGCTTTGTTACAAACACAGCACACTGGGCACTCCCAAGATCCCACTGGCCTTTTGAATTTATCGCCAAATCCTAAGGTACCAGTGGTCACAGTGCAGCTGGAAGATGAAGTGGCCACAGTGACAGCACTTTCTGAAGCCACTGGCAATGTAAGGACTCGCTTAACACCAGTTCCAGGTTTCGGTGTTTCACAAGCTACACATTTTATCGCTTCGGGTTTATTTTGTACTAAACAGGTATCACAATCCCAAGTTCCTACTGCTGGTTTAAATTTGTCTCCAAAGCCTGTCCCTGATGCAGAAAGAGTTGGTTTGCCACTTTTACTTGGTGTCCCAATTCCAGTCTGTTTAGCAGTATCTTTTGCTGGCAATTTTGTCGCTTGGCAGGCTGCACACTTATTGTCTGTGACTTTGTTCTGGACTAGACAGACATGACACTGCCACAATGACCCAGCTTTTAAACTTTCTCCAAATCCAATTCCACTAGAAGAAAAGTTACTTATTGCTGGTCTTGTATAAACTACTGGGCTTGAAGTTGTTGGGTGAGAATCTGTCTTCGGTGATACAAAACCTACAAAGAGGGGAAGAGGAGAGAATGAAAAGAAGTTTTCTAATGAAAACATTAACTGAAATTATCACTTGGGGAAAACACATTTATCTTACTGCAGAGTTACTACAATCCAATGGATTACTTAAGAGTTGTTTTTCACCTGAGCAGTTATTAATTACAATACGCAACGTTTAGTTAATATTCTAAAGATGCTGTTCTGTTTGTCATATATGATCCTCTTCTCCAAGAATCTCTACTTAATTCAACCAATACCAATTTGAGGCAATTATTTTTATACTGATTTGTTGATACAGTCTACTGTCATCTTCATTTTTCTATACCTTTTTGTAATAGTGAATTGCAGTATAGCCTTTCATAGCCTTCCTTCCTGATCTGTCTTTCCTTTCAGGTTTTCCCTTAACTACCTGAAATGAGTTCAGTATCTAATAATCTTTTAATTTTATCCAATCATAATCCACTGTTGTGGAATGCTCTACTTTCAGTATAATCCAGCTGAGCTGTATGGATATGCTAATTTGACAGATGTCCTTCCCAAATACAACACGGTGGAAAGAATTATTTTAATTATACGTTCAAGTATTTGAGTAGTAACCAAACACTAATTCAAATAAAATTGCTTCAATTCTCCCTCCAATATACTCTTCATAGCCTTTCACATTCTAAGTGTTTCTTTTTTGTAATCACTTAGGTGTTACTTAGAAAATCAACATATTCACATAGAACCATGGAATGACAGGAGGGGAAAAAAGTCTTTGTGCTACCAAAGCTGCTATCATTGAATTGATTCACTCAGACTACTCTTATTTTTGAGAATAACCTTCCAATCCTTTACTCTGGATCAATTTCACAGATACTAACAAACTCAATAACCTGTTTCTGTAGCATTTAGCACCGAAAGAAAAGAAAACTGTATGGAAGACCTGGAAGGTCGTTAGACTTTCTAGTGATGCCAAGAAATGATCCAGCACAGAATTTTTGTTATTGTTGTTAGCACAGGGCAAAATAATTCCACATAAGTTATCCCCAACAGTCAACAATGTGCTGTCTTGTTAATGACTAATTTGAGTCACTAAGGTTGGCAAAACTTTAACAGCACTCATTCTCAAGGTACTAAAGATTTCTTTTTTCCTCACTATTTGTGGATTTTCCAAATATCTTTCAAAAGAAGTTACAATTCCTCCAAATTTTTGCCTTTTTAAAAAAAGTTAAAAGACAGGGAGGGAATGGCATTATAAATACAAAGTTTGAATTATGTGACAATAAAACACATCCACTTGATGCTTACCAACTACCTGGTTAATGCTAGTACAGGCACTCTGTGGAGTTCTGCCGTAACTACATAGTCACCTAAGTTATTGAGATTCCTATGCGCAATGTACTCATCTATAAAATGAGAGCACTAAAACAAAGCAACCAAATCTTTCTCAATCTTGTTGGAGCAGTCAACACTATTTTGAAACTCCCATTCAATTATACATGACTGCATCTGCTGGGTAAATCTAAATTCTTTCTCAGCTATGAGATTATTTCATAAACCCATTTTTATAGTATATATCACAATGGGAACTGTGACTATCTTCCTTGATTCTTTTTTTTTTAAATTTTATTTTTATATTCCCCCATACAATTTCAACCCCCTTATTTTGACCCCAATCCCTCCTTCCCCGCCCCCCTATCGTCCTTGATTCTAAAACTGAAAATTTATTTCTATTTTAGGACTTCTATTTATTGTCTTCAATTATTACCTACTAGGCAGTTCTATGCTCTTACCAGAAAAAGACATGCCTAGTTATGGCAGGTTTATTCATTTTACACCATACTGGCCTATCTCTATTAACATTTTCTATATGTCTCTTAGAAATTTCATTTTAATAATACAAGGTATGTAAATTCTAAAGAAATATGTAAAATTCCTAAGATAGTTCCCCTAAAAGAACTACATCTGATTCTACATTAAAAAGTTAATGTGGACCTCTCCTGCCGCCCGCTGCTCCCCTCAGCAGTGCACTTCGGTCCTTCTGCCTGCTCTGCTCCCCGCTCTGGCTCTGGTGAATTCTCTCACCCTCCCGCGCTTCTGACTGTACCCAGTGCATGTATAAACAAAAAAAAAAAAAAAACGAATAAATAAATGAAAAAAAAAAAAAAACACATGCCTCTTTATAAAAAAAAAATTAAAAAAGTTAATGTGACAACACACAATTTATAAATTTTAAAAGTCTAAAGCATAACACAAATGACATTAAAATGAGGTCATGAATTTATAATTCAGATTTTAGGCACTTTCAAGAATTGCTGTAATCTTACCAGGGTTTTTCAGAATGTCTAGGACACTTCCTTCTTTAAGGATTTTTGCAGGTCTAAAAGGGCCATAACAATCTTCATCTGGACTCTTCTTACAGTTTGCACTGTTAACTACGGTGATGTCTTGACCTATAATTTTTTTAATTGGAAAATAATATGCCATCAGAAAGCATTGAACTTTAGTTAAATGTATTAAAAAGATCTTTCAAAGACAATTTGGATAAACATCATAAAAAATTACTTACAAATCAAAGACAATGAAAATGACTTAAGTGATAGGGTAATCTGCCATTACAGGAAGTACAAACACCATTGCCTATACTCTACTCCTCCTTTCCTCCAAAAGGGCAAAAAATATAAACCACAACTGCCACCTAAGGAACTCGCTGGTATCAAAAATAACTAGGCAAACACATAAGAGGAATGTGGCAACTGAGGCAAGATTATATGCTGCATGAAATAATATATTTGATTACACAGCAAACTACAATACTGATTTGAAAAGAAAACCTCATACTCAACAGAGCTAGTTCTTTCATTTCTAGAGATAAATCTTATGATTGACTATATTCTTCAGCTATAATTTAAAAAAAACCAGGATGACAGTTGCTCAATAATGAGGGATTATATAAATTACAGAATGCACCCACATCAATCATTCCCAAAAGCATAGATATGGGTAAAAGCAGGTTAAAAATCCAGAAGATTTTAACTGTTGGTATCTAATGTGTATGAAGAGTAGCCGTGGCTGTTAATGACCAGTGATCTGTTGTTTGGTGTAGCCACCTTCATAAATTATCTTAATCTTCTAGATAACTTGCTGCAGCTTCTAAATCCGCACTTGCTGGGCCTCTCTGGTGGCGCAGTGGGTTGAGCGGCGTGCTGGGAAGTTGTCCGCTGCCTCTGCAGTGCCGGTTCAATTCGTGGCCAGCCAGGGAAAAACCCACATGGTGCAGCGGACCTCTCCTGTCTCACCCGCAGCTCCCCTCAGCAGTGTCTTTGGTCTGTCTGCCTGTTCTGCTCCCCGCTCTGATCTGGTGATTCTCTCATCCTCCCACACGCCTCTCACCTGTACCACAGTTTTTGTATAAATAAATAAATCTTAAAAAAAATAAATCGGCACTTGCTGCTTTGCCTTGCATATTTATGTCATGGACACAGCATGTTTCCTTAAGCCTAATGAATCAACCTTGGCTAGCTTCAACTTTTTTCTTCTGCAGCTCCCTCAGCTCTCTAACCCTTCACAGAATTAAAGAGGGTTTGGACCTTGTTCTGCATTAGACTTTGGCTTAAGGAAATATTGTGGCTGGTTTGACCTTCTAGACCACCAACACTTTCTCTACATCAGCAAAATAACGCTGTACATCTTTCTTATCATTCCTGCGCTCAATGGAGTAGCAATTTTATAACCCTTCAAGAACTTTGCCTCGGCATTCATAACTTGCGTGTTTGGTAATGAAGTCTAACTTTTGGCTCATTAAAGTTTTTGGCAGGCCTTCCACACTAAGTTTATCATTTCTAGCTTTTGATATAAAGTGACAGATGCATGAATACTTGAACACATTATACACATTATAGGATTAACCTATATTTGACCTAACTACAAAACAATTGTATCTCAGGAAATAGGTATGTCTGTGGAGAGGGAGAGACATGGAATGACCAGTGGATAGAACAGGAAGAACACACAAGACATTTACTGTTTGCCATATCACATAAGGGCACAGCCAAAACAATTAAAATAGTAACATCAAAATCCACTGAGCACAGATCATCATAACAAATAATGATAAATTTTAAATACTGTGAGAATAAATGCTTATGTCTCGGCAACAACAACAAAAAAATCTAAAAATTTTAGCAAAGGATTTGAATAGACATTTCTCCAAAGGAGATATACAAAGGGCCAACGAGCACAGGAAAAGAGCACTACTCAGTCATTAAGGAAATGCATTATCAAAACCACGACAAAGCACTATTTCACACCCACTAGGATGTTTATGACCCAAAAAATGGAAAACACTAAGTGAAGTGAGAATACGGAGAAATTAAAATCCTCAGACCCTGTTGGTGGGAATCAGACATGAGCCAGCAGCAGAGAAAGTTTCAACTATTTGACCCATCAACTCCATTCCTAGCTATATACTCCAAAGCACTGAAACCAGTATACAAACACACACACACACACACACACACACACACACACACACAGCCAGAAGATGCAAAGGGCCAAAATGTCCATCAATGAATGAATAAACAAATTACAGTATAGCTACACAATGGAATATCACTTAACAATAAAAGAAATAATGATAAACACTATAATATAGATAAACATTGATAGCATTAAATGAAGAAGATGCAAAAGTTTAAACTGTTCAATTCTAGAATAGGAAAATGCACAGAAACAGAACCTAATGGTGGTTCCCAGGGGCTGGGGTAAACGAGTCACTGGTTAACATTTACAGGTTTCCTTTCAGGAGTGATAAAAATGTTCTGGAATTACATAAAGGTGGTAATTGCACAAAACTGTGACTATATTAAACACCACTGAACCCTTCCCTTTGAAATGAATGATGTTATCTTTTGTCAATTGCACATCAATAACAAAAAAAAAATGTGCCCAAAACTAAAGACCACACATCTAAGTATCTCTGAAAAGTATTGCTAAAAAGCATTGTCAGAAGGTTGGTATTAGCTCCACTTTGCTTCTCAGAGTTAATTTCATTCAAATGAAACCATCTACAAGAAATGCCAATGGTGAAAGATAAATTTTAAAGTACTAATGTATGCATCTATTTTAATGTTAAAAATTTCTGAGAAATTTTTACTTACCCAAACTACTTCTAGTTGGTTCTGAAATACTACTAGAGCCAGAAAGTTCTGCTGTTTTTGCAACAGGCACACTAAATGTAAATCCAATCTGTAAAAAGAAAAGTATCCCCTTAAAAGTTGAGTCAGTATAGTTTTAAACAATTATCAATTAAAGCCCATTTTTAACTGCAAGTAAAAAAAAAAAAACCAAATTTCACTGTTTCTAAAATTTGCCACTTTCATATTTTAAAATCTCTAAAACTAGAGTGCTTCTTTTCTTTTTTCAGTGTTTCTTCTAATGTAATGAATGGTGTCCTAGTTTAAAAGCATTTTTATTTATTAGGTATTGTATTCTTTCAAAGCAGTAAATAAAATAATAGTGTGTTCTTAATGCCCAGGTATTCTCAATGCCATTTTCTAATAAAAAGTCAGGGATTTCTTGGACAATGAGTGGATTTCAGAGATGTGGCAAAGAAATTAAAAGGTGATCTAAAATATCTAATGACAGAAAATAAGAACACAGGAAAAACTATGGCAACATGGTAAAGTGACATACACATGCCAAATATAGGAGGGGCAATCTGAACATTAAGCTTATATGTTATTATCTAAAATATTTAATTATGGAAAAACAAATACATATTGTGGGACACTAAAAGCTCAAAATTTTCTAGATTAAAGACAATTCAACAGGTGCACTAACTAAGCACAGCATGATTTAGCTTTTTGAGTCCAACTGTAGTGGGATCTATGAACAAGAGAACAGCAATTATAGTATGAAACAGATGGGGAAATCTAAATATGGATTATGCTATTATTATATCATGTTAAATTTCTTGGGTATAGTAATAGCATTGAGTGTGAAAAGGAATGTCCATTTTCTTAAAGAGTAAAGGGAAATGTATTAACGGTATCAAGATGTATGCATCTTAACTATCACACAGTAGATGCAAATGCCTATATGTCTTATCCACTAAAAAAGGTATAGGTTCTCATTCATTCAAGATTTCGCACATTGGAAAGTTTTTTTAGTTTGAAGACAAATAGTGGTATTTATTATCATTGGCATCTTGGATTTGATAAAAATATAGTATGTCTCTGAAATCCATTAATTATGAAATATTCCTTGCTTGCTACTTACAGATGATGGAGGTAGTACATCTGCCTCAGTAGATTTTACAATTGGAGATGAAAATCTAAACATGGGACTGCCAGTGCTGTTTGGAGAGGTCATCTGTACCTGGTTTTCCAAATTATTAAATTATATAAAAACAGCTTTTTAGAAAAAGAAATTGACAATAAAATAAATTTAAATTATTCCAAAGAAGTCAAAAGCAATTTCCCACTTTATATTTAAAAATCACTTTTTAACTCCTGAAAAATACTAAGCAATAACTGCTATAAAAATCTGGTTTCTTGGGCCTCCCCTGGTGGTGCAGCAGTTGAGCGCTGGGCTGCAGAGGCTGCGGGCAGCCTCTACAGCGCCAATTCATTCCCTGGCCACCAGCGAGGGTCCTATCAAAAAAAAAAAAAAAAAAAAAAAAGATTTCTTCTTAGGCGTATACACTATCTTACAAGTGGCTATATGCCTACAAAAGTAACACGCACAAGAATATGTTCTTGTTTTTACTTTTTATAAAGTAAAAGCCAGGAAAAGGGATAAAAATTTCAGTAACACATTAAAAATGTTAATTCTACTTGAGAAATAGAAACATACATCCATTTATACCTTCACCCAAAATCATCTTAATTAGGAACATTGTTTGGAAACAAAATTACAATCACTTCTCTAGCTTACTACATAAGAATTGAAAAATACCCCCATCATAATGCACATGAAAAGACAAGTAAACCACTGTGTTTTCATTTTCCTCCTCTTACTCTGGGTTATTATTAATTTCCATACGAAAAATTAATCACCGCGTTAAACAGAATATTAGCCTTTAAAAGAATAAAAACAAAAATCACCTCTATTTGTACAATGCTTACATACCTTGTTTGTTAATGATTGTGAAGGACTGACAGGTGATGGAGAAGAAGTTGTAATCACAGAGGAACTAAAATTGAAGGTAGGCAGTGAAGAACTGGTGATGGGTAGAGAGATTTTCGGTAATACTGGTACTTCCATTTCCTAAAACACAACATGTTTCATAGTAATGTGAGTCATCTTCCATGTGATTCTTTTGTGTCTACTTCTTTTCAAATACAACTGATATATTTGCAGATAAATTTAGAATAAGGAGACGGTAGCACCACGTTAACAATGTAGGGTCTTGAATCAAATGACTAAAAATGATTTTATGTAAAATGAGCATTTAATAAATGTCAGTACTGAAGAATCTGGTGAGCTGCCTTGGGTTTTAATGAAATATAGTGACGATCACCATGGTCTCAAGTGACCCAGATCCAAAACAAGCAAGAAAAGCTCCACTTGTGCTAGTGGTAGAATAATGTGTTGCCTGAACAATGTGCCGACACAGTTAACAATTAGAAACTTCGGACAAACTACTGAAACCCCTGAACACAGGTGAGCAACCAAAATTAAGCAGAAAGTAAAGGGGAGAAGACGCTGGAAGGAGCGAGGGCATCGAGGGGACTGCCTGTTCTCTCGGTGAAGGGATGCCACTGGATAGCAAAATTCAGAGAAAAAAATGACAAATCTGTCAACAGGTGACCAGAGCAGCCAGAAAATGAGGGAAGATGAAACAATGAAGAGTGACAGATGGAGAGCCCTTGTATCTAAACCTCCGGCACACCTGTAACTCACAGGGGCATATGGCAGACACCAAGCTGCCAACTAAAACTACAAAGTTTTATTGTTGCCCATCATGAAGGAATAGTCTGAGTTCAGGAAAGTTCACTGCCAACTATACAATCTGAATACTTTAAAAGGATGTAGTTCATCATATACAAATTTCACATCAGTGACGTCGACCCCACACACACAAACAAAAATGCAAAAAAAAAGATTTCAGAGAAAATGGTACTCCCTGGTGGCGCAAGGGTTAAGACGAGGCACTATGAAGCTATCCACAGCCACTGCATCATGAGTTCGATCCCCGGCCAGGGAGCTACCCAGGTGGCACAGCAGACCTCTCTTGTCTCGCCCACTGCTCCCCTCAGCACTGTGTTTCAGTCAATCTGCCTGTTCTGCTCCCTACTTTCTCTGGTGAATCCTCTCACCCCCCACAGCTCTGGCCTGTACCCCAATTCTTGTATGTATAAATAAAAATAAATCCTAAGAAAAATTTCAGAGAAAGGAAACCTAAGGATCTGTTGCCATAAAAGCTGCTTCGTAAGTTCTTCAACATGAAGTGGAATGGCTTACTAAATGGAGAATATGTGAGCACACAGAAAAAATTATTCTCTTGACCTTAAGCAAGGGAAGCAAAAGCAAACATGAACAACTGGGACATCAAGCAAAAAAGCTTGTGCATAGCAAAAAAAAATATCAAATTAAAAAGGCAGCTTACTGAATGGGAGAAGATATTTGCATATCATATATCTGATAAGGGGTTAATATCCAAAGTACATAAAGCAGCATCCAATTGAATAACAAAAAAAACAAAACAAAACAAGACACCCAATTAAAAAGCAGTAAACCTTGAGCCTCCCCTGGTGGCGCAGCGGTTGAGCGCTGGGTTGAGAGGCTGCCCGCAGCCTCTGCAGCGCAAGTTAGATCCCCGGCCACCGGTGAGGGCCCCACAAAATAAATAAATAGATAGATAGATAAATAAATAAATAAATAAATAAATAAGATAAAATTTTTAAAAAAAGCAGTAAACCTGAACAATTTTCCAGAGAGGATACAAAGATAACCAACACAGATATGTATTTAAAAGGGGGGAGCGGTTCTTCAGCATCTCTTATGAAATAATAATCAAAACTATGGTACCATGACACCTATGAAAATGGTATGTATCGAGAAAGAATGCTAACAAATGTTGGTGAGGATGTACAGAAAAAGGAACCTTTATACACCATTGATGGGAATGTAAAGACATAAAGTAAGTCTCATGCTAACTCATTAACCATATACTTGGCCACAGTGATTTCTTTATATAACTGATGGTCTTAATTCAATTCTAAATTTGGGTTCCTATTCAAAATTTAGACTTAATCAGAACTGAGTCCCACAAATGTGGGAGAAAGTCAAGAATTCTGCTAAAATAAGACACATCAAGTTGAACGTATGCCATCAGATCTGTGACTTACTGCATCTTATCTTTGGAATACCTTTACACTTGTCATCTCACATGAAGTAACTACTACTGCTGTGAGGAAACAGGTATGGAAAAGTAGGGTCCAACATAGTTATTAAATGGCAGACTTCTTATCCCCATTTTACAGCTAACTGATGTTCGAAGTTTGACCAAGGTAACTCACTACCAGTAACAGGACTGCTGACACATGGCACTATTAAGAAATTATATCTCCCCAAATTCAACCTTATTATATACTGCCTATTTATATCGGGGAGTTTTTTTTTTTCCCTTCCACTTGGAGAAGCGGAAGCCTTTTGGCCTTTTGGCTAAAATCAAGTGTACCAATGAGTTTTTCCATTATAAAAACCTACACTGACATGACAGAAACAAAATGGCAACGTTTCATGAATAACACAGACTCCTTACAAATTTTGTTATCTAATATATAAGGGGGAAGCTAAAACACATTCATTTGCAAAAATGGGTTATTTTCAATAGCATTCTTATAACCTGAATGCTTACTGACTCAAAATACACTAATCCTTCCTTATATAGAAATGGTATCTAAAATTAGCATAATTTCTTTACATCCATCCAAAGTTCCTTCCATTCGACCTTTCCAAAAAATCCATTAAAAAGTCCACAAAAATGAATCTTCAATCTTTCATCAAAAATTCCTATTAACTATAACTGAATTAAGAAACTAATGGTCTAGGGCCTCCCCAGTGGCGCAGCAGGTTGAGCGCTGCGCTGTGAAGCTGTCCACAGGGTCTGCAGCGTCGGTTTGATTCCCGGCCAGCCAGGGAGAAGCCCACATGGCGCAGCAGACCTCTCCTGCCTCGCCCACTGCTCCCCTCAGCAGTGTCTTCAGTCTGTCTGCCTGTTCTGCTCTGCTCTCTCTGGAGAATTCTCTTATCCTCCTGCGCCTCTGACCTGTACCTCCATTCTTGTATAAATACATAAATCTTAAAAAAAAAAAAAAGAAAGAAAGAAAGAAACTAGTGGTCTAAACATATTTGAGATCCAAAATAAAATAAGGGAAATATCTACCCAAACCCATTCTATGAGTATTTAAAAAAAAACCACAGGATTGGCATAAACTTTGGGGCAGCCACTCACTAGTACCTCTTTCCTCAGCAATGTGGAGACTGTAACTCCAGTGTGAAACAGAGCTTAGGGACAGGAGTTAGATGAGGCATCCTGGGATGTAAGATTGGCAGTTGGCAGTTGGTTGGAATGAAGAGTGGGGGTCCAGAGAATGCAGGAGGTGATAGAGAGATCTGGGAGTGGGGAGTTTCACAAACTCCTCACAGTTTAGTATAACAGGTAATAAGAGCGGAATTAAGTAAAATTTAAAACCCCTCACAAAAACTCCCAACAATCAAGTATGAAAGTTATAATAAACATGCATCTACACAACAGCTAAAAAAGTAAGCTACAGATGTCAATCTTGCTTTCAGCTAAAGAGCTTAAAAAATGGATCTTTAAAAATGAAACTGAAGGGAAATAAACAAAATTCACAAATCTGTCATCTAACAAACACTAAGCCAAGTTAACGTTTTCCTCATATAGGGATAAACTTTAAAAAAGGCAGGGTCACAAGTTTTACTGAGAACTATATCAAAAATTTGTGTAAGGAACAAACCCTTAACAATCAGATAATAATTTCCTTTTTATTGAAGTTTCTTAAATGTAACATTGTATAAGTGTAATAAATGTGTGGTTTTTTTTTTAAGATTTATTTATTTATACAAGCAATGGGTACAGTCAGAAATGCAGGAAGGTGAGAGAATTCACCAGAGCCAGAGCGGGGAGCAGAGCAGGCAGACCGACTAAGTACACTGCTCAGGGGAGCAGCGGGTGAGGCAGGAGAGGTCTGCGCGCCATGTGGGACCCTCGTCCGGCGGCTGGGGATCAAACCAGTGCTGCAGAGGCTGTGGGCAGCTTCGTAACCCAGCACTCAACTGCTGCGCCACCAGGGAGGCCCATAAATGTGTATTTCTTAAATGTAATAAACTCTGTAAGAACTTCAGTGAGAACAGAAAACCCAAAAAAAGATGTCTCCCTCCTCTATCACCCCCAAAATCAAGGACATCCAAAACAAAACTCCAGCAGCACACCACGTCATTCATCACATTGGCAAAAATTTCTAAATCAACAAAATCAAATACTGGTAAGAAGGGGGGGGGAAAGCTGTTAACCCTTTGCAGGGGACATCGGAATTTATTAGTGATTACAGGGAATTGAGGTTATTTCAACGCAACTTTTTGAGACATGCATGTTCCCCTGAAGTTTTATCTTGAAATGGCACAAGAAATTAAATCAAAATATCGTAAAATGGTTCAGAGTGCAAAGGGTTAAACTGTAAAAACGACCTTGAAAAGCGATAAGGTGACATCTAATACAATGAAGAAGTGCACCATCCCCTAAAACCCAACAACTCCATTGCTAGATAATAGCCTAGAGAAAATACTGCACAAGTGCATAAATACTCATCTTAACATGCACTAGAAATCAACCCACATGTAACCGGCAGAATGGACTGTGTTAAATTTTCATACTGAATAAACATATAACTGTAAAATTAATTAAATAACATAGTAATCTTTCACAATGCTGATAAATTTCTCAAATAAAAAGAAGAAAACACTAAGTGAGAAGCATACACAGAGCATTAACCCATCTACTTAAGTTTCAGGTATGGACAAAAACTGAATATGCAGTAATTCTGTCAATTTCAACTGCAACTCTTATTTGATGAACGGTTTTATGATCCCTATAAAATGTTAGGGTTAGGTTTTCTGTTGCCTGTGCTGTCACAGTGAAAGTGATTTGAAAAGTGTGGTAGTTTAAACACACACACACAGATAGCTTATTCTTGCACTAGGTCTCCCCAAATCCCACCCAACCACCCCTCCAGGTCTTCCTTCACCACCACCACCACCACATAAAAGAGCTTAATAAAATTCAAGAGTACGCAAGTATATAATCCTACCTCCTCTTCTGGAGGTTTAGATGCAACAAGGCGTGTTCTCTCTCTTCTCATCTTGCCACCTCCACTACCTACTCCAGAAGATAAACCATTGGCAGCAGACATGCTAAAATTTGGATAAGAAAAGCCACTAGACAAAAAAAGAAAAAGAAAATTAAAACAAATAATATATTACAATAGTCCATAAAACTTGTTAAATAACTGAATACCTAAAACCTAGAACTGCTAACAAGAAAATGTATAGCTAAATGTGATTTTACAAGTTGACAGATTTTTGTATGTATAAAGTTTCTTCTAACTTTCTTAATCTTTAAAAACACATATGTAAATCAAATATACACCTTATAAATTAAACATAAAATTTAGCTGTAGGAGATGACATTACCTTTCTCGTTGTTCTCGATTTTGCCCTGATGTCATATTTTTTTCATATCCAGTCTAGAAAAATAAACATAGCACATTTACATACTTCTTTTTTTGCTTTAATTTCCTTAATATTATCCTTTTATCTGTGAATTTTAATATTTGGTATCAGAATTTGATGGCTATTAGTTAATGAATCCTAAAATATGCAACGTACTCTCTGCCTCTTGAATGGTAACCAAGAGTTTCAAATGGGATTAAATAAATGTCCCTGAGCACAACAGTCTTTGAAAGAAAAGACTTTTATATGAAGTTAACAGACTTACCAACCAGAAAGCTTTATCATTCATATAGCCTATAAAATGTACATGCAAATTTACAAATTTCCTTTTGAAATGCATGCCAAAGGAATCAGGAATTCTTAGAGAAAGAGCTGATTCCAATCAGGGCTGGGGGCAAAAACTTACAAGATGAGCCTGGATTATTTCATATTATCAAAAGCAACTAAATATTTTTAAAAATGAGAAAATATTTTTTTAAAAAAGCCACAGTAGCCAGTTAAAAAGGCCAAACACAGGGCAATATGAGAATCAAACAAATACTAATTCAAGGATTGTAATTTAATGAATGTATGACTTCAAGTTGACTTAAAAAATAAACACATAAGTAAATAGAGAAAAGAAAATCCTCCCTACCATAGAAAACTAATACATGCAGAAGGAATAGTGGAATTGGAAAAAATCACGACTTGGCAATCTAAAAATAGATCGCTCAAAAGCACTAATGACACTAACACTACACATGACAACTAAATGTAAGACATGGATTTTGGACTTTTTTTCTTTTGTAGACAGGTGGCATTATCTAAATAAACACACAGAATAGTATGTACTAATTGTTCTGCAGTTATGTAAGGAATTCTTTGCTTATAGAAAACACAGGAAAAAGATAAAGCAAAGGTAGCAAAACAGGAGTTCTTAAATTTTTTTCCTGTAAATCTTTTAAGTCCAAAACTGATCAAAATAGTTTCTAATTTTTGATAAATATTACAAAATGTCAATTAAAGATAAAAGAATGGGTTCACACTTTCAAAATTTCTCAGTAACTGGGTTGTTACGAAGCTTGGAAGAGATTAAATGTATGTAAAGGTACAAATATTATGCCATGTAAATACAAAAATGAACTTTAATCAAATGACACAGGAAATCAGATAAACCCAGAATGAGACATTTTATAAGACAAGTCACCTGGTGTCTTCAAAAACCAATGTGCCCAACAACTGCTTATGTCCACCAAAAAATTCTACACAAAAGTTCATAGCAGTAATATTTGTTATAGCCAGAAAGTGAAACAACCCAATCTGATAAATGAATAAACAAAAATTTGGTATATTCAAAATAACAAAATAGTCATAAAAAGAAATGAAATTCTGATACATGCCATATAATTTGGACAAACTTTGAAAACACTGTTAAACAAAATAAGCCGGTCACAAAGGACCTCATATTTTAAGATTCCATTTATATGAAATGGCAAAATAAATTTAAACAGAGATCAGTGGTTGTCAGACCTGCAAGGGTAGGAGTGGGCGGTGACTATTAATGAGTATGTAATTTTTCAGGGAGATTAGGGGAACAGTGATGGAAATATTCTAAAAATGACTACGGCAGTGACCGAACAACTCTGAATATACTATTTAAGTGGATGAATGTTATAGCATATGAATGATACCTCAATGAAATAGTTAAAGACAAAACAATATGGTAAGTGAAGGTTTGAGGCTAGAAAGGATAAAACCAAAAGCAGTGAATTCTTGAATTCTAGTTCAAAAATGCAGCAATAAACACTTGAACATGGACAAGACACTGCTTAGGAAGGACTTTAATAGTAATTTCCTTTGAGATAATACAGATGAGAAGCATGTCAAAGTAGCTAGGGGTGAACAGACAGAATGTCTGAAACTTATTTCAGAGAATTGAACACACGCAAAATACAAAGAAATTAAGTCTAACAAAATTATTTTACCTAAAAAATGAGTATATACTGACGTTTGCTAGTAAACACAAATTTAGGGTCTGGTCAAGATGCCAACCATTTAAAGGCATAGCAATCTGTAATCATTAATTCACATACCTTACACATTATCTACACTGTTAAACTATAATGACAGAGTACATGTAGTTACCATTTTTATTCATTTTGATCATTAGTCAAAGACTGGTGAAAATAAACACATACTCACACTGTGCTTTTTATCTATTCTTTGATTAGTCTTCCTTAATTCACCAGATGGGGTCAGAGATGGTTTAAAATAAACAGTTCGATTTGCTGCTATGGACACTGGCTTTGGGGTCATGAGTCTCTGAACAGGGGGATACTGAGAGTCCACCTTACAGGTAAACAGAAATCAAAGACAAACTTTTATTTTCATGTATTATCAGTAATGCTTATCTAAAAACTGTTAATAGCTAATGTGCCCTAGAGACTATGAGAACATCATAGAGAAAGCAAACAAACGCTGAGAGAAAAATTACTAGTAACAGAAACAAGAAAGGCGTGGGAGAGTGGGGCGGGCCGGGGGTGTGTGTGTCTAGGATCTAGGAATGTTTCCCTTGAAGACACTTTACTAGCCATGTAGCAAATAAAAATATACCTCTTTAACACTACCAAACATTGTATTTCTTCCACAGTAACCTCTAAAGCCAATTTTACCCAAATAGAATACACTAGGAATTATCAAGAGATAATCTGTAATATAACTTTTTATTAGCGCTACTATACATTTGAACAATATTTTGGCTGACTGATGGAAGATATGCCAATTTCAAATTCTATTATACATTTCAGATTTGACTTCTTTGCTAATAAGGAAAATTTACAAAGATAACAACGTTCAGTGAGGACTTTGGGTCACTGAACTCCTAAATACTAAACACTTCAGTTCTGTTTACTCCTATTTTTGTCAAAAGGCAAGCGTTAACTCAAAATATTGCCAAAATGATGAAGATGGAAATCTCAACCAAAAAATAGTGACTGAGCATCTACTACATATACAGCATTATGCAAAGGCTCTCACAGGGGCTAAGACGTCCAAGTAAAAATATTTCTCAAACATGCTACCTACTGACGACAGTCAATAGTCAATTTGTATATTTGCTAATGTGAAATGATTATAAAAATTGCTTATACTTTAAATAAATGCTAAAGAAGTCAGTCTTACCTTTTCCCTTTTGGCCTGAAAATCTGTGGTGGTACCTAGTCCACTCCTATCAAGAGGCTGAAAAATAAAATACTGTTAGAATATATGGTAAACTTAGAAAATCATCACTCTCAGGACCTCCCCTGGTGGCGCAGTGGTTGAGCGCTGGGCTGCGAGGCTCTGCAGCACCGGTTTGTTCCCTGGCTGCCGGCAAGGGTCCCACCAAAAAAAAAAAAAAAAAAAAAGCAAGCAAGCAAGCAAGCAAATCATCACTCTCACTACCAATACATAACAATCTAAAAAAGCTTTAGAAGTCAACTTACAGAATTCAGGGGAGAAGAAGCGACAGATGGAATTCTTTTTGCATCCTATCAATGTTAAAAAAAAAAAAACCATTATTAAGGTTTTTCATAAAGCTCCAATTTTACTGTAATCCTGCATTTGTTAACAAACTTTACCGCTAGAGGGCTTGACATCTTCTCTAGAGACAGCAATATTCGCCGAGCTGTTGAACTAGTCACACCATAGGATTGTGCACTGAGTTGCTTAGCTTTCATCTGTCTTCTGACTGGTGCCTATAAAGTAAACTTTGTATTATTTGTTTGAACCACAAACTTGAAATCACAATGAAAATACTGACAAAGATAGAATGGATGTCCAAAGTGAAACAAGATTAACATGTTAACACTGACATATCTTTGGGTGCTGTCATTGAGCACATGTTCACCTTTTTTTCTTTATGCATTTATTGAAAATCCAATTCTTCACCAAAGAAATTACTCTTACAATGAGAAAAAAGAAAACATGTACCACTCAAAAGTTCTACCAAAAAATGAGGTAACTGGTAAAAAATTCTAGCAAACCTTGATGTATTTAGTCTGATATTTAATTATTAAGAGCTACATTAAAATATTATTCTAGGTATAATTAATACTTAATTATAGTAAACACCAAGATAACTAAACAAATTTTATTCTATTGCAACTGAATAAAATTTTTAAACTAACTTGTTTTTCAAATTTTAGTAAGAAAAACTTTAAATGTTTGTTTTTTCTTAATAAACAACTTTTAAACATTCTTAAATTGAAGTTAAGGGGGGAAAAAAACACATGAAGAAATGACAAGTACCCTTTAAGACACAAGCAGTGTTTACAACATTGACCACTGAGAGTAACAGACATCCTTTTTCTCTTCCTGATCTTAGAAGGAAAGTATTCAGGCTTTTACCATTAGTATGATGCTAGCTGAAGATTTTCTATAGATATGATTTATCAGGCTGATGGGATTTATCATCTATTCCAAGGTCTGCTGAAAATTTTTATTATGAATGGATGTTAGATTTTGTGAAAGGTGTTTCATGCATCTTGGAGATGGTCATGTGGTTTCTCATTCTTTTGCGAGTTTATATGGTAGAGCAACGATAATTATCAAAGGTTGAATCAACCTTGTATTCCCAAGATAATCCCCACTTGATCAGCATGCAGCATGCTATTTATATATGCTGTATTCAATTTGCAAATATTCACTGAGGCTAAAAGTCTGTAATTCATGGGAAATGTTGGTCTGTAGCTTACAATTTGTCTGATTTTAGTATCAGAATTAAGGTTGGGCTTCATAAATAACTTCGAAAGTATTTACAGAACTGGTAGTATTTCTTCCCTTAAATATATGGCAGAATTCACCAGGAAAGTTATCTTGACCTGAAGTTTTCTTTGCTGACAGGTATTATAACTATGAATTCAACTGACTGAACAGACTAGTGACATTTAGGCTATTTATTTTTGACTAATACCAAATAATACAAAATACTTAAGTATGAATCTAACTTAGACCTGTACAAGGTCTGTGCGATAAACACTACAACTACAAAACACTGATAAAAAAATTTTAAAGACCTAAATAAATGGAGAGATTTATGATGTTCAATGTAAGATTCCATTTTAAGATGTATATTCTCTTCAAACTGATCTTTAAATTCAATGTAATCTCAATCAAAATCCCAATATTCTTTGTAAGAACTGATTAAGGCAATTCGGAAATTATGAAAAAAGCAAAGCCCCTAGAAAATCATAAGAAGCTTGAAGAAGAACTGAGGTGGAAGTCTCATATTAATCTCATTTCAAGATTTACTATAAAGATACAGCTGTAAATCAAGACAGTTTATTGTTGGCATAAAGATACACAGATCAGTGGAAAAGAACAGAAAGTCAAGAAACAGTCACATTATATGGTAAATTTATTTTTGACAAAGGGGTAAAGGTAATTCAATGGAGAAAGCACAGTCTTTTCAACAGATGGTATGAGAAAAATTGAATTTTATGTTAAATAATGAATCTTCATAGATACCTCATACCACACTAAAAAATTAAAAGGAATTCTATATATAAATTAAAACCTAAAACTACAAAGTTTCCAGAAGAAAAACAGGAGGAACTCTAATGAGTTAGGCAAAAAAAAGGCTTAGATACTAAACACCAAAAGTATCAATCATAAAAAGAAAAAAAATATACTGAATCTCATCAAAAGTAAAAATTTATCTTCAAAAATTTATGTTAAAAAAAATTTAACATTAAGACAAGTTCAAAGAATGGGAGAAAATATTTGCAAAACAAGTACTAATAAAGGACTCATACCCTGAATAATGAACTCTCAAAATTCATTAAGAAAACCACCCTCTTTAAAAAGTGGGCAAAGAGTACAGATATTTCACCAGGAAAGATAAACTGATGGCAAATAAACACATGAAAAGATGTTAAAGATTATTAGTCATTAGGGAAATGCAAATAAAAACCATGTGATATTGGAGTTAATCAATACATGCCTATTAAAATAGCAAGGACACTCACATTACTCGCGAAAACGCAGTGTGGTATCAGACATTTTGTAAGTCTAGTAGTTCATTGCAAAGTTTTAATGTATGCTTACCATATGACCCAGCAGTCTAACTTCTACGTATTTACCCAAGAGAAATGAAAATTATATGTTCACAGCAACTTTATTCACAACTGCCAAAAATTAGAAACAACCTAAGTGACCTTTCACTGGGAATAAACAAAATAGAACTCAGCAATAAAAAGGCACTATTCATATATACAAAAATAAAGATCAATCTCAAATGCATTATACAACAAAGAATAAACCAGATTCAAAAGGCTACATACCACATGATTAAATTTATACAACCTTCGGAGAAAGAAAAAATAAGGAAAAGGAAATAAATCAGCGGTTGTGTGAGGATGAAAATAGGAAGGGGGTTAACTACAGAAATCACAAGGTAGTATTTTGAGATGACAGAAATGTTTGTTCAGAATTATGATTACAGAAGTGTTTTCATTACTATATTTGGTTTTGTTAAAATTCAAATACTCTGGTGGGGTAAATTTTACTACATGTAATTTATATCTCAATTTTTTTTAAAAGAAGCACCACCATGCCTCCTAAACATATGTATAAAAACACACACAAATCTAACATATGTTCAATGAGGTCTAAAATAATGTTCAGTAGTCCCTAAGTGAAAAATATTTGTCATTCAGTTCTATTGTTTTACAAAGAATAACTGAATCAAAAGTTTCTTATCAATTTTTTTTTTAAGGTTAACAATCCTTCTATTCAAACCAACCTGATAAGGTGTGTTTCGTAGTTTAGGCTGTCTTACAGCAGCTGCTGCTCCACCATACGTTGTTTTTCCAGGATAAAAAGGAGAATCTCCAAGCTGACTTGTTTTAAGGATTGAGGAATTTCCAAGTGACTGCACAGAAAATATTGATAAATTATTATAAGAAGTAAACACTCAAAACCAGTATGATAAAATCAAATCCGATCAGTGCTCACAGGGGAAAGTGTCCCAAAGGCAGACAAGTTGAATGCTGGTTTCTTTGAGCTGGTGGCAGTGTGCTGTGAGAGTGAATGAGAACGTTCAGCCTCTGGGGACCACAGAGGTGGCACTGAAGTATTCTTTGAAACAGCTATATCTGAAATAAAAAATATGTAACGCATAATATTAGCATAATTACAAGATCCTAGTTTTTCAAAAACAGAAAATGAAAATAACAAGTCAGAAAAAAACTTATTTCGTGGAATTTAATTTTACTACCAAAACTTATCACCAAATGACAAGAATACCTTTATCAGAAGCTCTTGAAGAAAAACCACTGGTAGTTGAGATGTTATCATCATCATGCTGAGAGGTAGAATCTTTAATTTCTTTTGTAAGGGAAAATCCAGAACTGCCAATTGGAAATGTTGAGGATGTGGAAGGCTGACAATGTAATGCAGGAGATTCCAAAATGGAGAAATTCAGATGGCTCCGATGAAGAGAAGGCCTTGTTAATACATCTGGATAATTTGAAGCAGTACTAGTTGTTGAGGGTTCTTAAAAGAAAAGCATTAATATTATAAATACAACTTGGAAAAAGTTATATGCTATTATACAAAATGGTGTTTACTTTAATAGAACATAAATATAACAAATACAACTTCAAGTTAAATGACTGAGGTCTCCCATGACAAACCCAATTTATATTCTTCAGTCAAGTAAGGTTTTTTTGTTTTTTGTTTTTTTGTTTTTTTTTTTTAAGATTGATTTATTTATTTACACAAGCACTGAGTACAGTCAGAAGCGCAGGAGGATGAGAGAATTCACCAGAGCCAGAGGGGAGAACAGACCAGGCAGACTGACGAGGTACACTGCTGAGGGGAGCAGAGGGCAGCAGGAGAGGTCTGCGCGCCATGTGAGACCCTGGCCTGCCCAGCAGCTGGGGATCAAACCGGCACTGGAGAGGCTGCGGGCAGCTTCGCAGCCCAGCGCTCAACCGCTGCGCCACCAGCGAAGGCCCAAGTCAAGTAAGGTTTTAACCAACAGAAATTAATTTAGCTTATCAAGGTCAAAATATATTTCAGTAATCACATACAACTTTCTGAAAAGAACATGGTTCTTGATTACTTAAAACCTGCTAGTAAAAACTCAAGTCAAATAAGGGAATGTCTATTATTTCAGAAATATCCACTATTAAATTTGCTACAGACATTTCTCTATAAAGAGCACCTTGTATTGATCTGCTGTAATTATGTGACTGTTTCCCAATATTCTGTCAAATATGTATGTACTTACTGGGTTGTCTGAAAAGTCATAACGTATTTTTTCTATGTTTTCAAAGGTCATTTATTTATATAAAGAACAAAGATCAATGACATATTTCCCTGTTTTGTTCAATAACCTTTTGCCATCTTTCAGTGAGCTTCATCACACCTCATTCATAGAAGGACCTGTCTTTATTGTCATTATCGGTGGAAAACTCAACAAGGTGGATTTACAGCCTCATCTGAATTGAATGTTATACCAGGCAAGGAGTTTTGAAGAGAGCAAAACAGCAGTCAGTCTGACGGCCAAGGTGAGGCGAATATGGTGGGTGTGGCAATATAACTCACCCAAGCGCTGATAATTTTTTGACGGGTGATCAAACTTGGGTGTGGTCTCGAAATACGGTGATGGAACACGGCTTCTTTACAATTAACGAGCTCTGGACATTTCCAGATGATGGATTTGTTCAAATTGCCCAATTGTCAACAGTACACATATGAACTAATTGTTTGGTTCCTTGGGAGCAGCTCAAAAAAAACCCGACACCTTTAAAATCCCCACACTGAAAGCATAGCCTTCCTCTGATGAGTGTCTGCTTTTGACATCATTTGAGGCAAAACCACCATGTCTGGACCAAGATCATTTGCGTACCACATTGTTGTAAACGATCCACTTCTTATCACCAGTTATCAGTAGGATAGGATAGGATCGTTTTCCTGGCGTTTAATGAGGATATCACAGATGTTTATATGCACCATCAAATCAACTTCACGAACTCAAATATTGACCTTGCTTACATATCTCAGCTTTTTTTTCAGGTGGTCATGAACGCTTGAATGATTAACAGTCAATGTTTCTGCTGTCTCGTGTTGTGCAAAGTGGGTTTGACTCAACCTGTCTTTACTTTGTTGTCATCAACCTTGGTGGGCCTCCCTGACCCAGGCGCATTGCTGAGATCAAACTCGCCAACATGGAATTTCGTGAACCACTGCTGGCACTGACGTACTTCTTGAGCACTGTAACCGTAAACTGTATGCAACTTTTCACAAGCTGAACATGCATTCTTCCCTTTATGGAAGCAAAATAGTAAAATATGGCGAAAATGCAGTTTGGTCTTCCATCTTCAACATGTAAAATCTCCAAAACTCAACCAAATCACTCAATTTTTTTAGAAAGAAGCCAGAACTGTCAATTGTCAAAAGACTAGCAATAACATAGATGCAAATGACTCTAATATTTCCAAAAATGAACTATCATGCATCATGACTTTACCAACAACCCAATATACTCACATATTTTTAATGTAATTGTTTTAAGTAAAGCCATGCTTCTCTAAGTGTCTAAGAGAAACATGAGGAGAAATTATTAAATAAATATCCTAGGTCAATCACCAAAAAATCAGATTCTGTAAGTCAGAAGCTAGGCTCAGAAAGCAACCTAAGTATCCACAGTATCCTGAGAATTGACTGGATAAATAACATCACACTGGATCACAGTGCATGCTCACTTTTGCTTATGATATATACTATGATTCAAGGAATTCCTGTCAACTTATACTCTCAACAAATAACAAATGATAATGCACATTTCCCCATATTCTCTACAAACACCAGTATTAACCTTTTTTTTTGTTTTCTGTCTGTCTAATATATAAAATGGCATCATTATTTTCACTTATTTAGCTGAGGACTATTACACATCTTCCCCTAAAATTCAGCAATCATTTATATTTATTCTATTAGTTGCATATTTACATAATCTTTCCTATTAATAAGATGAGTAAAATTGAATTTGTCATTTATCAGTCAGATCAGTGATATGAACTCATGAATGTAACTTTTTACCATAAACTCACTCATTTTTTTTGATAATGTCTTGTTTACTGAGACATTATAATTTCAAAACTATTAGAAAATTACATGCTACGCATTTTTTTAGTACTGTTGCTTTTATTTCAATATAATTTTTAATCGTGAATCCATCAGTGAAAATCAGTTATGATATAGCAGGGAAGGAATGATTTAACGTCATCGTTTTCCAGATGATTAGTATGTTAATATTCTGAAATAATCTTACTAAATGAGATGCATTTTCCTCCCTGGAGCCACCACTGCCACATGTTAACTTCCAAGCAGCTTCCCCCACCGCCCCCATCTCTAATGTTTCAAATGTTTTAGAACTATAGTTTTAAATAATATAGTATGTGCACAGATACAGAGACGTATCATAACCAGTGACTAGCTAAACAAATCCCTGTAAGTTACTTCACTTCAATCTACCCCCTTTACTCCCCCTTTTTTATTTTCAGAAATTCCCTATAGTCAAGAACTTTAGCATTATGCTGTTTCCAACAGTCTACCTGTTTAGGCCAGAATACTAGGCTCAGACTAATCCTTCAAATGTAAATATGGTGGGTATGATTGTTGTAACACACACGTGAAGAGGTGTGACCCTCTACTGTAAATCATATGGTAAACCAGTGTTACTTCACTGAAAAGAAAATATTAATTTTTTAAAAAGTTAAATGCCAGTTTCAACCTGCATTTCTTAATATGACTTTTAAAGATATTGTCAGAAAGTCGCAAAAATAAATTATCGTTTTAAGAAAAGAATACTGAATAGAATGAGACAAAAGCCTTAAGAGAAAAGAAAGTTCATGAAGTAAGCCCCATCACTACCCAGCTCTCTATCTAAAAACATTTTCAAAACTGGCACTGTAAGCTGGGCTCCAAGCAAAACACAGCAGGCAGAAATCAGAATTAAGAAGCCTGGACAATGGAAAACTGCAGGAGGGGGCTGCCGCCAGAAGTTCATAGGGGAGTTCTGCAGAGTATGACCACCTAACGCTTACTAGAAGGTGAGGAGTCCCAGTGCAAAAAGCAGTGCTGTACAAAAAAATTCCATGACTGTTGTAACTTAGAGACATTCCATGAAAACTGGCATTCAGCTAAATTACCAGAAAAGCTTCCCCTTGGAACTAAGGATTATGTCCTAGAAAACAAGACCTTCTATAAACTCCTAAAAAGTTTGGAAAGTCTCACCACTGTAGCACCTTAAAAAACATCTTGGACTTTCCACAGATAGATACTAGAATACATAAAACTAAGCCTACAAAGTCCAAATGAACATCCAGTAACAACTGCCAGCTAAAAGCAAGCATCAACACTGTTCAGAGGAAGATTAACAGAATCCAGAACTTATCCATATATTATTCAAAATAACAATATTTGTTCAAAAATCACTCGCTAAACATGAAAATAAAAAATGTGATCCACAGTGGAAAAGTCAATAAAAACTGTTAAAAGAGCAAAGACATCACACTTAACAAAGACTGCAAAATAGGCATTTTAAATATATTCCTAACAAACTTGTTAAAATTATTTGATGAGATCACACTGAAAGTAAAACATTTTAAAAAGGAATTAATGTCATTTCCAGCATTGTTTTCTGACCCATCTTTCCTTTTGTTCAGGTCTCCTTTAAGTCCTACAGCAGAACATGAGAGAATTTCCTCTTCTAGACAGTCTATCAATACTCTTCTGTGTATCCTCTGTTTTCATCGTTTGACATTATAAATGAAATTATATCTTCCTTCATACTTTCTAACTGGTTATGCTGTAAAACATTAATAGGATTTTTTTCAATAGTAACTTTATGATTAATTTTTCAAATTTTCTTATGCTGTTGCTCCCCCCAACCACCTCCATTCAGTTGACCTTCTTGGCTTTTCCAGTTATTATCTGCAAGCAAGGATCATTTTGCCTCCTTCACAATCCTTACACATACACACTCCTCTAATCATACTGTTTTTATCATCTGAGAAGTGATAAATCTCCACCTTATTCCTGACTTCAATGGGAATGCTTCCAACATTATGTATGATTTTGGCCTTTGAATGACTGACATATAAAGGAAACATTAGTTCCAAATTCCAAACAGAAATAAAGAATGGATTTTACGTTTTAGTTAATGTCTTACTCTGTATCTAACAAAATGAGGAATTGAGCTCCTTTTGCGATTGAGATGCTGTTATACTAGTGATTCCTCAATAAGGAATAATTCCTTGTATAACTTCTTTAGTAAGTTATTCCTTACTGTGCTAATAGATAGTATTTGTCACTCTGTAATTTTTTTTTTCTACGCAATAGCCTTCTAGAAGTTTGTCTTCAAAAATATTTAATTGTTTAAGCAATATAAAACGATTCTGGATTATTTCATTTCAAAGTGCCATTATGCAAAAAATAAAGTGCAGATAAAAACACTCCATTGGACCAGAAAGAAACCTTAAGAT